CAGTGGAAGATAACGAGCAGAGGAAGAAGCAGGAGGAAGCAATGAGAGAAAAGTTGTTGGCTCAGGAGGCTAAACAACATGACCCTAAGGTACAGACCAAGTGCAAGCAACTAAGCTGAATGAAAGCTATCAGATGTTTACTCAGTGCTAAATAAAGCTTCGCGGCGTGCCAAAAAGCACAGTGAACAGTACAAATCTCCTCTCCGCTGGTTCAGGTCCAGGCCCACAAGAAGAGGCAGCAGCAGCAGGAGCTGATTGCAGAGCTGCGCAAGCGGCAAGCCAAGGACCACCGGCCCGTGTATGAGGGCAAGGACGGCACTATTGAGGACATCATCACAGGTGGGCCAGACAGCACCCTAAAAAGACCCCATGTGGGCGCCAGCAGCCCCGGTCGTCCCAGGCCGAGGATGACTGTGGTCATTCACTGCTCGGCTCCTTTGAAGTGCACCTTGTGCTATGTGGTCCAGACACAGGCACATCTGGAGCACAGCACATAGCAGCTAGTTATTCCATGACGTGCTGTCTCGTTAGCTCTGACATGAACAACACTAAAGCTGTTGAGCCTCAATATGTTGATAGTGTACATGAAGTTCTGTATATAGGATCTTTAGTTACATCGTCCTTCTTTAAAGCCACTATGTGTAGATTTTTTATGTGATTATAGTGTTTTTTATTATAGTATTCTGATGGTATATTTTTTGTGTAGAAAAATGAGACAGTCCCACTGAAAACTGGTTGGGGATTAAGCAAGTGTCGTTCTTGAACGTACCACCAGGAGTTGCCAAAGTCAAGAGTTTTTCAAATTCTACATATAAGGCTTTAATGGGAGAAAAGATCAGTATCTACAGCCTCAGGAAACAATCAGTGATCAGTGCTTAAAATGTAAATAATATAAATGTTGCATTAATATAATTTTTGTCAGTATTAATAATGCTTCAATGCCACTACTGTGAGAGTCGTAACAGCTTATTATCCAGCTCTAATTCTATTAAAAAAAAACCTCCTGAGGCTTTTACAAGGTTTGCTACCAACAGCACAGCTCCACTGTTCTCAGATTCATTGCAGTCTCCTGAAATATGAAATACGAAGGTGGTCCAGTGCCCGCCTCTCCCCACTCCCCTCACCCCCCAGAAGGGCAGTGTCTCAGGTGTGACATGTTCTCTCTCCCTCCCCCTCCTCCCCCCAGTACTGAAGAGCGTGCCCTTCACAGCCCGCACTGCTAAACGCGGCTCACGGTTCTTCTGTGAAGCCAACCTCTGTGACGACGCCAACTGCTAGCCCTCCCCTCTCTAATGCCAAGGTTGTCCAGGTGTCTCTCGTATGCCTCCTGACCACTGTGCATGCAGCATGACCCCTCCTCCTCCTCCCCACAACTTCTACCACTACAATTACTGTGAACTAACTTGGGCCATCATTGGTTGTTTGTGTTCTACTACTAGAGGACTCCTATCAGCATCTGATGATAGGAGTCAGCCAAACCTCTTTGCCTGGCACAGAGCTACATGGAAAAATGAAAAAAAAAAAAAAAAAGAAAAAGAAAAGTTGTACAGAGTGTCAGCATATTTTGCGCGTGAAAAACATGTTGATACACTCAGAGTACAATCAGACATGACTGTGATGAAACGATCACGTCAGCGCATCATGCATGACACTGTAAAAGGCTGTGCATTATTATGGCAGATTTCTTCGAAGGCGTTCTTTTCATGAAGCTGCATTCATCAATAAAGAGGTTTGGCTAATTTACTGGTTTTATCAGCGATGCCTTGTTCCATGAGACTAACTTGTTTGGTGTTGGTGTTCCGGCTAACATGTGACTCTTCTTTCCTCAACCACCACTGTTTATTCTGCCCCCTCCAGCTGAAAAGAAGATTAATGACAGTATTTCCCACTCCTAAGAGAGGGTAAGGAAGGTAGCCTGGCTGAAATGCGGCGCGCTTGGCCTTCCAGCTCCTGTGTGCTGCTACAGTGATGTCAGTTGCTTCAGCTAGTGCTTCGGACGCAAAACAAACAAAAATAAAAAAAAAAATGATGCTTTACAGCAATGAGATTTGCTTTACCACACAAAATAATCATAATGAGGATTAATTAAGAAGCGAGTTACAGTATGTTTATGGTTGTAGAGAAATTCACTATCACTCGCCCAAAAACATGAAATCAGTGATTTAATTTTCCTCTAAGTCTTTGTCTCAGTCACAAATCCCCTGCAGGATTTTCAGAACATTGTTGTTTATGCATAACTGTACCCTTAAATATTGTCATCATTATCCTCACCCCCCCCTCCTATTACATGTTGCATGTTGTCCAGTGTTCATTTACCTCTCACCTGTCAACAACGTCCGCCATGTTTTGTCTTTGCTAACTGTCATCCGCGGTGTGCTGAACAGCTATTTGGTCAACAGGCTCTAGGAAAAAACACACACACACACATTCAGTCAGATACACATGAACACAGTCTATATCCAAAACTGTTACAGAGTTCAATGTTCAGGCATCTTGACTGTTGCTCCACAGACTGAAGAGCTTGTTGACCATTGTACTGTAACTGTAATAATGATGGCTATGTTTTTTTTTGTTGTACTGCTGCATTATTTGTGTTACAAAGTTGCCATAACTACATCCCCAAAGCCTTGAATTTCACTGTTTGTGCATCACCACCACCAGGTGAAATGCAAGGTTATGGGAATGTGTCATTCAGTGTTTAATCTGCATTGTTTATGCTCTTATTTGCTAATTTTATATTTCTAATACAGATTTAACAAAGTTTAACTGCAGATGTTATTGCAGATTTTCTATAAATGAAATATAGAATAATATACACTCAGTTGGCAATTTATTAGGAACACCTAGCTCAATCTAATACAGTCTAATGCGATAAATCCTCCCGCATGAAGGTTATAATGTTTTAAGTGTTGGAGGTGTTGATTCAACTTTATGACGTGGTTTGTGAACTGTACTGCGTTATAAAGAGAAGTGTTTCTGTTTTTTGTTTTTTTTTGTTCTTACCCTCAATGATATAAATGGGGTGGACAAAATAATAGAAACACGCCAGTTTATCGGGTGTATCTAGTGAACTGGCAGCTGAGTGTATGTCCGCTACATTTATGGCTTAAAGTCACTTAAACACTGCAAAAGAATGAAAGAAGCTAAAGTGAGTAGAAGCAAATATGGGTCCTCTAACATGAGTGTCCCCCCCCCCTGTCTCTTACCCCTTTCTCCATGCCTACTCACAGATCTCCGAAACCAGCCTTTCCTGCGAGCTGACGCGTTGATCCGGAGCGGTTGGAAGAGACCCTAAACCACTTATTCGTCCCTTATACTCCCCCTCCCCACTATAACCTTCCTCCCTGTGTCCCGATGGTCCATCTCAACCCTGAGGCTGCAGATCACAAAGACTGAAAAAGGGAGGACAGGACAGAGCCCTTGTCTTAGCTGGGTAATTTATTTATTTATGGAGGCCCTTAACAGCCACTTTAAGTGAGCAGGCATCGTTACAGAAGCGCAGTGGGTCACTCCTCTCTCGCTGCAAGCAGAAGACTTTCCCCGCTCTGTCGGCATTGAGAGCCAGACCAGTCGGAGGACGACTACATACGTACATACATACAGGTGAGGTGAGCTGAGGACTGGAGGAACCGCGAAGCAGGAGGAATGGTGCTTTCACTAATAAGTGCCTGCCAACATGCGGATCTTATTCCCGAAGCCGTTAATTTCCTCAGATTATGAAGTCGTAGCAGGACTTAGACTGGGAGGCAGCCAAGGGAAGATGCCGACACCGCTGCTGGGATGTTTGCCTCGAAGACACTTGCAGAGCCTTCCTCCAAATAACAGAGAAGCTTTGATATTAGACATTTGGGGACTGCTCCCCGACATCAAGCCAAGTCAACACATTCAATCAAGACTTAATTCTGACTATGGTTTATTTAGATTTCAATCGCATGTATCTCGGAGGAAAGGACCATCTACTCCTCTACAGTACTGGTTCTTTTGGACAGGCTAGCCAAACCAAACTTTCTTGAATGTCTCATGTTTTGCTTCAGAAGTGCCTTTTTTGTGTAAACAGTGTTACTTCTCACAAGTCAGCCATAATTTGTTTATTTTACATTCTTTCATTTGTTAAAGATTGTATTTTTTATTGCCTTGTACTTTAACATTAGCCTTATAATACTGACAACAATATGCAAAAGTTGAAAAAAAAAAAGTTCCAGCTATAACGGCACACAACAACTAGAAGGTGAAGGGAATAATGGTCTTAAGATTTCTCTTTTATTTACCTCTCTAGTACACCAATGTCTTAAAGCTCATAACATTTGACATGAGAGTCATTGTGTCTTTGTGCCTTGTCCAAGTAGTTGTTAAAAAAAGTGAATGTCGTTCGCCTTGACAACACTTTCTGTCACACTTTTAGTGACATATGGGAAAGTGACAAATGTATGAAGAAGATTCCACATGGACTACTGTTGAAGGGCTCAGATGATGTTAACCTGCTATAGATGTGGTGATGGATGAAGGACATTTCCATTCCTATGATGTCTTATGTTTTAAGCTCAAAGAGATGAATTTCCTCCTAAGAGACATCTGCACATTGGCACAAAGGGAGTGATTCTTTACACTACTTAATTTGGCTTACATTGTATGAGACACTATTCTTTAAGTGGACATTTATATTAATGTACATTGAAATCAAGAAATTTACTTTTTTGGAAGAAATGATCCATGATATTGACTATTGACTGAAAGATGACACTTCCTTTTTAATAAATAAGATGAATTATGTAACTACAAGACCAAAGACTGTTATTACAATGCAGGCGTATGTAAGCAAAGGTTTGTGGTCTTTCTTTAATGAAGCAACATGCAAACAAGCGCTTACCACATGTTCATGTTTTTTTATTTTTTTTTTTACTTTTTAGGATAGCTCATGTTAATTTCTCATGTACTCCAGCAAGAAGTAACGAGCAATTGCTTTCCCTCTCCATCTCTCCAAATGACGGACAGAGCCACCGTACATTTCTACTATAAAAATCCATTTAATTTCTTATATCAAAAAGAAATAGAATCATAACAAAACAATCAGAACCACAAATATCCATGTGGGTTTTTGCCACCAAAAGAATTTCTCCAACTGAAAAATGATTGTTCTAATTTACATGGTCGGGTGAAAATCTAACAGAACAGGATGTTAAAAAAAAAAAAAAAAAAGTGTTATGAATACTGTTAAAAGTGAGGGGCAAAGCAAGAGCATTTCCTCTAGGATGGGTGTGTGACAGTACCATGCAGAGTGATATGGCAGGTATGGCTGAGAAGAAGCTCAGTTAAAAGCAGCGTGGTGAGCAGTGAGACACAGAAAGCAACTTGAAAGACTAAAAACCAGGCTGACACAGACAGATGGTTAGCGTTAGCAGCAAGGCAAAAGAATTAACAAAGGAATGCTTATCAGGAAGCTGATCAGTCTCCTTCCTGGGAATGCACTTAACAATGAGCATTAACCTAAATTACATGTCCATGTAATTACATACAATACGAAAAAAAAAAAGAAGAAAAAACTCAATCTCCCACAGAAGTTCGTACCATCAAACGGTCTCCCTGGCCTTTCCTCAAAGTACATTTACAATCAAAAGACAAGGAACAAAAGCTAAATGTTACCATTCTCAGCTAATTATTCGTCGTAGATTGTTTTTCAGTGATGACCGGAAATTCACAGAAGCTTGCCGTCACTCCCAAAAAGAACTTTCTAGAACAGTTTCAGAGCAAAATCCGGCTTCTGTCCAGAGTGTCCTGCAGTAGGCTAAACCAAGGCCACGGATATCCATCCCAGACTTTTTATCCTGGAATGTGGACTCTTACAATCATCTTCATCCAGCACACTCACACACTGCCATTGACGCATTCATTTCTGACACAAAGTATGTCAATTATACAATGACTTTAAAAAAACTGTTAAAAAGTACAGACTGCTATTTGTTACTGATGTTTGTATTCCTGGGTATATTTTCAAGACACTTTGTTAATAGGTTTATATATATGCAAATATATATATATAACTTTAGTCTGTGCAAGGAGGTAAAAGACAATCACTTGAATGTAGTTGTTTGAGACAACAGAACAGACACTGTCTGCGATGCTGAGTCCTCCATGTGTACATGTGCAGTTAAACAACTTCTCATTTCTCCCTTTAGACCTCCAGCAGCAAACTTACATATACACATAACGTGAAAGACTGGGCCGAACCAGCATCCAGGAAGCATTCATAGTGAGCACTGACACTTCTCCTCTCTTTCATGAACAACAAAGACTTGGCAACGTTTTCTATGATGGAACAATATTCTCTTTTTTTCCCCTATACAATTCATACAAAAATAAAAAATTAAAATTGTTCCACGGCCATTTGTATCGCTCTATCTTTTACATTTGCACAGAGGTAGTGGCTATATGTGTGAGAGGGGAGGGAGAGTTGTGAGGAGGAGGTGAGCAAAATTAAAAAGAAGAACTGAATAAATGTCTATAAAATGGTTCCTTTTTCATCACCAGAGGATTTTTTTTTTGTCAAAGAACAAAATATAATACTGCAATCACTTAAAAAAGTAGTCCTTCATTTTATACATTTTATACAGTGTTCTTGCTTTTTTTTTTGTTGCTTTTCTTTTCAGTTGGTAAAGGCATAAGATGAGAGCTTGCTGGCTCAGCACTGGGTTGGGCAGGGCAGGGCAATGTTGGCAGAGTTCAATCCAAGCCAAGCTCTACGCTAGTGGGTCACTCATGTCCTCATCGCCCTGGGAGAGAAGCTCCTTCTTTTCATCTGTGCTGGCAAGAGAGTTGCGGCTGTTGTGGGCGCCCATGTATAGGGTGGCATACACTGGGTTAGTGAAGTTGGTGGGCTGTGGAGCAAAGAAAATTACATGGTGAAAGGAGCGTTTACTGCGTTTTGTACTTGGGTGAACTAAGGGTTAGTTCACCCAAATAACAAAAAGACAAGACATTTTCCCTCCTGCCACTAGAAGCCCTGCAGACAGTTTTGGTTTGCTATTCGGTTTGTGCCTGTCTGCTCTGGTTCTTTGCTTCAGGACGTCCAATCACCGATCAACTGCCCCTGACCAAAGTGTAGGTGCATTTTTCATCCACCACATTTTTGATTTGAGCATAAAAACCAATTGTAAAAACAAAAAAAAAAAAAAAAATGCAGTGGAAATGCTTGTGTTTTGATAAAAGCAAGATGCGACAAAGTGCAATGTAGCCAGACTTGGTGAATAAATAATGACGCACATAAGGTATGTGACTTAAACATCACTCAAGCTTCCAGTCCACTGGAGAGAAAAAAACATCAGATCTGTGTGGACCAATGAGGAGACTTTATCCTTCCTTAAATAATCAAAATAATACAGGAAAAAAAATGTGACACGTGTTTTCGTCATTGTTTCCCACTGTTTGAGTTTTGACTGAAGCTCCTCTGGTGGTGGTTTAATGCCACCAAAACAAAATAGCACCACAAGCTTTTCAACTCAGTGAAAGACACACATACTGGAAATGCACATTCATTTTATTTGTTTTCTAACATTTGGGAAAAACTTGCACTACGTTTTTACTTGTGGCACTTGACAAGGCTTGTGGCCCAGGTTCGGACATACTGGAGCCTGAAATTTCTGCTACTATCCCAATAATAAAACACACTGGTGTCATGGCAGTGAACACGTCCCAGTGATCTGGATAATCCAAAGACCTTTAAAACGTTTAAAAAGTTTTCATTGGAACTACTTTCTAACAAAGAAATGGCAGCACACCCCAAAATGTATTGGGGTGTGAGGTTTCAGAAACTTGGCTCATAACACTGACACTATCTGCTCAGCTAGACACCACTAGAAGTGATAAGATATGTTTTTTTTTTTGTTTCTTGGGTCAAATGACTCTTTAAACAGGAGTGCCGTCGGCTCTTTTACCTTGTCTGGGTCCAAAGCAAAGTCTGAATCCAGGAGCTCCCCGGCGTCATCGTCAGGGTCTCCCTCATAGATCTTATACGCAGGGTTCCCAATCTCAACATTCATGGCTCCATTTGTCATTCGGTGGTGCTGGAAGCCCTTGGCACTGCAGACAGACAAAGATAAACAAACTCAATAATCATCTAAGCAATAGATTTAGACCCTAGATTCTAAAAGACAATTCAATATTTTAGGGGGAATCCCTGAATGATACAACTCAGAGTGGCTGGAAAAGTATCATAACTTGGCGTAAGCCATGTACTGACTCAGCACACTGCCACACACAATCCACACAACCAAGACAACACATATTAAAGGTTGTCAAATGAGCTTTCTTGACAAAAGACCATTTGATCAAACCCAGAGAAAATACCGCAGCATGTCTATTGTGGAGAATGCTGGACTTTCGTGTTGCAAATATTTGGCTGTTTGCAAGCATTTAAACATTTTCAGAGATGCACAATTGTATATTTTACTATGCAAGGACATAGCGTAAGCCTAACATTTACACATGTAAACAAGGAAGGGTATGGAGATGCAAGAAGGACGAAACAGATCAATTGTTTGTGCATCACCAGCAAAACCACTTCAGGTAAGAGTCAATAGGTCCCTGTGTTGCTTGGCTGGAACCCCACAGAGGATAATAGGAGATGGCAGGCAAAGACAAACAGACAGATTTCCAACAGAATGGACAAATGGACCAACAAAAAGCATAGCCAATCTGACTGGGTATTAAGGAAGGGAGGAGACAGGATTTGTGGGTCAACAGGTTGATTATGTAACCCTATAAAGTTACCGCGAGCATTGAGAACGAGATTTGCCTGGCCATAGAGACCTGGGAGACAGGAAATAGATGGTTATCAAAAGGTAAGAGAGAAAGAGAGGCTAGATAGTAAAGGTGTAAGGAGCAGATGAAAAATGGGAGTTTGAAAAAAAAAGAAAAGAAGAAAGAAGTTTCTGAAACCAGGACCTACCCGCGCATTCTCCGCTTGTACCACAAGATGGCACCAACCACCAGCAGTGCCAGTAACAGCAGCAGAAGCACTGGGATTACGATGGAAGCAGTACCTGTGAGTGAGCAAATAATGAGAACAAATAGAACCAAAGTGCATGTTTTACCAACAAGACTCTCTGTCAGCAACTGTGTGACTTACTTCCACTGGAAGCAGAGGAATCTCTAGGAGCAGCTGCAACTTCACATCTGTATCCTCTCCATCCAGCAGGACACCTGAACACACAATGAGTCAGAGTTACAAAGTGTGTGTGTGAGTTTCAGCCAGAGAAAGACAGAGAAAGTATATTAAGATGGGGGTGGGTGTCATATCTTACTTGCACTGAGGCAGCAGTGTGCGAGTGTTAACTGAACATTGTCCATTTGCGCAGTAGTCCAAACAGGAATAGCAGCTGGGTTGGATCTGACCGTTGGGACAGCTACACACACAGATAAAACATGAATTACATTCCTCAATGATCATCTCAGAATGCTGACATAGCAGCGTTAATGCCTGTGGTTTTAGAATGATTTAAATGAGGGTGCGATGTTCGGATATCCACATATTTTTACCTCCACCAATGAGGTTATGTTTACACCCGTGTCTGTTTGTTTTGTCGGCAGGATTAAGCAAAAAGTACAGAACTGATTTGCAACAAACTTGGTGGAAGGATGGGGCATAAGGTCAGGGAATATCCCATTAAATTTTGGTTAGACAGACATGTAGGACTCTTTGCCCTTAGCAGAGGCATGCTCTCCACTGAGTGCCACTCCAGTGAGCCATGTAGCACACTTTCCAACCCGCAAGGAACGTGATGTGCATAGAGTGATGTCTGACCTTGCCCACTTGCTACTGAGCAGTCCAAAATAAATATTAACAAATATTTACAAATCTAAGTCTAATTTATTTTGGGTAGAGCGCACGTTCCACAGTGTACCCACCTGCAGGAAACCTCCCCTGAGGATGACGTCAAACACTTGCCCGTTCCACAGAACTGACATTTGTCCAGCTCGCACTGGTGTCCAATGTACTGAGTGGGGCACAGACACAGTTTGGTGCCGTTGGAGGTTTCTAAGCAGGTTCCACCATTCTGACAGAAGCCTTCACATTTACCTGAGGATAGAAGGAAGAGGTGCAGAGCACTATCTTAGTCATATATTCTCCCACAGACTGGGTTAGCAGTGGGGGACTTTTTTTTTCTCAAAAGCAATTAAAGATCAATTTCTGTTTTGTGACAGTGTGACAATTTTGCACATGCATCTTTTGTAAGCACTGTACATCAGTAGGCTAAACATTATACACATTTCATCAGCCATCCACAAACTGAAGTAAAACTCCTCCAAAAAGTGTTGCCACTTACTGTACTGGCATTGGTCTCCCTGGTACTCTGGCAGGCAGCTACAGGTTGGCTGGTTGCCCATGTTGACCGAGCAGTTGCCACTGTTCAGGCAGTAGTCTTGACACGTGTGGCGGTTGCAGGTGGGCCCGGTGAAGCCTTTAGGGCATCTGCAGGTTGGTGCACCTACAACCCAGGTGAAATATGAATTATGAGTTAAAATCTGTGGCTAACATAAATGAATAAAACTGAAATTGCTTACACAAAAACTGTAGCTATGCATCTCAGCAACATGAGTCCCTTACAGCCTTTAGAACTTTATGATTTCCCCAATTTTCTTTATTTCGACTAAAAATGTTCACACATACAGTAACAGAATAAATGAAGTACTAGCATAGACTGAGGGTTGGGGACGTAGAAATTGCTTCATGGTCTCTCTGTTGTAGCCTTTTGACAAGAATGGATGCAAATCGTACTAACAATGTTCACAACAAATAAAACATGTTTGCCTAAATTACTTGCCAGAGCAGTATTATAATTTCACATGAATTTTGACATTTGATGTTTATTTCACTTACTTTACTAATTAGAGATTTCTCCCCCTCAAGGAAAAATGTCCAGTTAATAACCTCTGCACATGTTTGGGTTTCCCATCCACAATGGCTTAAATCCATCCAATAGTTGTTGAGACATTTCACTCAAAACAAATGTTAAGCTCATAGTGGCGCTAGAGAAAAGGTCAGGTGGATTAATTTTCCCTAGAAAACTTTGTGCCAATCTATCAAGTTGTAGAGATAAAACTAAAATTTAGATGAAAAATCTGGGGTTCACCAAAACTCATTAGGATTCATTGTACAGAATTTTAGTGCAATTAGTCCAATAGCTGTTGAGATATTTCAGAGAAAATCAAAAATGTCAACTTAATATTTCTCATTCTCTGGGCACCATGAATGTTTGTGCAAAATCCCACGTCAAGCCCACCAATAGTTGTCCAGATATTTCAGTCTAGACCGACCGAGCACCAGACTGACAAACATTTCCATCCTTACAACCAAGCCACTAGCTTGGATAAAAATCACTACCGAGGCAATTTACCTCGTTGCATTCTACAGAAATATACACCTTCGAGGCCCATTAATATACATCTGTTCTTACTACAAGGGAAGAAACTAAATATTAACTGAATGACTTCTTTTTTAACTGCTAAGTAAGGAAAGGAGTCCCAGTAGGTTAGGTGTTCACATCACAGTAGGTCTATAGTGAATAAACCAGTGATTACACATGAGTGTGTTGTGCTCTCACCTGTGTGAGAAGCAGTGCAGGTGCCACCGTTCTTGCAGTAGTCCCTGCACTGGTTGATCTCACACCTTTCTCCGGTGTAGCTGGGCTGGCAGCGACACTTGGCCACCTGACGGGCATTGAGGAAGCAGCTCCCACCATTCTGACACTGAATATCACAGGGCCCTGAGGGGGGAGCTGCAGAAAGGGAATTCAATGATGAAGCAACATTTTGTAAGAACCATCTGAATGTAAAACCAGCGACATGCTAAATGGCTAAAGTGAAAGCAGGAATGCAGTTGTTTATGTAAGTGTATGTATGTGTGTGCCGGCTTACAGAATGGTGACTGGGTGGGGCTCGGTCTCTCCACACATGTGCCATTGTCGGCCACGTAGTTGTTAGGACAGGTACACACTGGTCCACTGGGGCTGAGTAGACACAGCCACTCACACTTTTTCCTGTCACATGGGTTAGTCACTGATGCAGAGAGAAACAAGACAAGCAATCAGGAAAACGTGCGTGGAATTTATAAAAATAGAATTCTTGAAACACTTATTATTATTTTTCTGGGTACATGATGTGTGCATTTAAAGTATTTACATCAACACGTGTGCAGAAACACAGCATGTTGTGACACTCACTCTCTGGCTGCTTGTAACGGTGGTACAGGACTATGTCAGTAGCGTGGTTGATGCCTGTGGTGAGATTCTCCATGGGCCCTTTGCCAAACTTATTGACCCGGAAGACAAAGTTGTTGACATATGTGACCCCATATATGTAATCCTCAAAGATATCTATGCTGAATGGATGAAGCAGGTCTGGAAATGAGAGAAAAGAGAAATTAGACAAACAGGGATTAAATATGCTGGCACCATGTTAATGCCAGATTTCTGAACTGTCATCTTTCATTCAGGTTTTGATTTGAGTGTGGAAAAAAAAAAGAAAACTGAACTGTTTTTGATGCCAGACACAGCAATGACAGGATCAGAGCCATCCAGACGAACACTGCCAATAACTGAGAGTTTAGCATCTGCCCAGTAAAGACGCTCGTTGAAGTAGTCCACAGCCAAACCTGTAGAGGCAGAAAAGAAGAGCCTTGTAGATAAAAACATGGCAACCTATACAGAGAATAAAAGACTGTGGTTGTGCTGGGCAGCTGCAGAGTGTAAAGCTGTCTAAAGTTGTGAATGTATCACAGCGAGTTGCTGGGAAAGAACATGTCAGCTGACTTTCCCTGGACAAATCTGGTTTTATATAAATCATTCTGTGCTACCACAATACTGACCTGTGGGCCACTGGATGTTCTCATGAACTAGAGTTTGTCTCAGAGTGCCGTCCATGGAAGCTGTCTCAATTTTAGGGTGGTTCCCCCAGTCTGCCCAGTACATGGTCCTGAGGGGAAACAGAGTTTGAACACACATTACAAAACACGTCAACAGAAAAAGCTATTCTAGAAACGAGATACTTTATTGTATATGATTGTTTCACTGAAGCGACCGTCTCTTACCCTCTCTGTGGATCCACTACAATGGCGTAAGGCTCATCTATCATGCCAGAGATGAGGGTCTTGCAGTGTTGGCCTGACATCTGAGCCACTTCGATTACATCGCGACCAGAGTCAGTCCAGTACAGATTACCAGCCACCCAGTCCACCGCTATACCACGAGGCATCTTCAGTTCTTTGATCTGAGCACAAGCACAAAGGCATTTACAGGATGTTCATGAGTTTGTGTGTGTGCTGTGTTTGTAGTGGAACCTGAATTACCTGCAAGTTGGTGATCCTTCCCTCGCTCTGCCGTCGGTTACGGTGAGAGTTGGAGGAGGAAGAGGAGGAGGATGATGATGATGTGGACGGTCCTGGCAGTTCATAGGAGGAGATGCGGCCTGTGTGCCAGTTGGTCCAGAAGATGCGGTTGGTCTTGACGTGCAGGTCCATTGCATCAATACGCACACTGGCATCCCCTTGGAAGGTCTGCTCATAGCGCCAGTTGGGCATGCCAGGGTCCAGGCTTCGGATTTCGTTGTCGTCAGCGATGTAGAGAATCTGTCGACTGCTGTTCATGTCTGGAAGGAAAAGAGGAAAAAAGTCACAAGGATGGCTTCTCCAATAATGAATTACTATTAAAAAAACAGCTTAAAGAAATTAAAAAAAGAAAAAAAAAACACTCACTGTCAGCCTTGCAGGTGTCATTGATCCTGGTAAAGTATTTGTGGCAGCTGCATTTATAGGAGCCTTTGGTGTTGTTACAGATATGGGAACAGACTCCAAATTGCAGACACTCGTTCTTATCTAAAAAATGGAGAGCCACAGGGAAATCATGTTGAATACAATAATATTAAAGCCTCGAAAGTGTAATCAGTTGTTATATTTAAATGTTTGAAGTGAGTTATTATTTGTCATAGCAACTGCAATGTTTTTTTTGCATGTGTACCTCCACAGGTGTGGTGTCCTGTCTTCTGGAAACCTGGTTTGCAGGAGCAGAAGGAGTCCGTGCCATTGGTGACACAGTGGGCTTCATCTCCATCACCACACTGAGTCCTGTTACTCCTACAGTCATTTAGCTTGGTGTCTGAAAACAAGCATGCAACAAGTGAAAGATGAGTCCGCGCATTTAAGGTTGGAGACCTCAGATCTGCGGTCAGTTATATTACAGAAATCGTCTTTGACATGCGGCACCTGTCTTGCAGTTGATCTCGTCAGAGCCGTAATCTTCACAGTCGTTAAAGAAGTTACAGCGCAGAGTGGAGCTGATGCATCTGCGGTTGGCACACAAGAACTCATCCTTCTCACATGTGGGAACAGCTGGAGGGGCAGCTGTAAACATATAACACCACACACACAGGTCAATCATCTCCTAGATTAAAGATGCAGAGGAAGGGATTTTCACAGTGATTTGAATGACTTCACAACTTACGGCAGTTGAGTTCATCCGAGTTGTCGCCACAGTTATTGACCCCGTCACATCTCTTTGACAAGTGCAGACAGACACGATCGTTCTGGCAGCGGAAAGCCCTGGTGGGAGGACACTGGAACCTCCCTGAGAGCCGAACAGAGAAAGAAGACAAGAGGGACAAAGAGGCGAGGGGGGAAAAAAAAAAAAAACACGTCAGGACAAAAGATGAAGACTGAGAGCGTTTCAAGATGTGTGTGATTCACAAGCCTGCACTCACTGCACTCATCAGGATTCTCGTCAGAGTTGTCCCCACAGTCATCCTCCCCGTCACACTTCCAGGCGAGGGGTTTACACAAAGTGTTGTTACACTGGAACTCATCCTGAGGGCAGTGACGCCCAGCTGAGAAAAACAAGAGGAAAAAAGAAGAGATTTTTTACTACTGATATGTGTTTGCATAAAACTTGATATACCTTCTTTCATGGCACATGGCACAAAATCTGGGTGTTTTGCAACAACAAGCCAAATGTGTGACAAATCATAGTCACACATTTGTCTCATTAAACGTCAATTCATTCTTATTTTTTTTGCAGACACATTGAAAACAAAAAACTATTAAAATAGTGTTAAAAAAACAATAACATTTCCTTACCAGCACTGCCACAATTCTCCTCATCACTGCCGTCCATGCAGTCAGGGTCAGCATCACACCGCCAGCGGATGGGGATACAGTGTCCGTTCTTACACTGGTACTGGTCGTTGTCACACTTCAGATCACAACCATGCTACAGAAAGATCACAGCCCATAAGACAGGAAGGATCAGCTTTTATACTTACAAACAAATACCAAACACCGGCAATTCAGCATTATTGTCAATCAAGATTAAATGTTATTTAAAGGTCACCTAAACACCCAAACAAAAAGTTTCTGCACCTCATCAGATCCATCAGCACAGTCATGGTCTCCATCGCACTTCCACCTTCCGGCAATACAGCGACCGTTTGTGCAGGCAAACTCACTTTCTGAACATTGTCGGGGCACTAGAGAAGAAGAAGAAGGACAATGTTCATGTTGATGACAACACTTCAACAGCACAAACACGGCACAAGCACATGGAAATTGTAGACCCTGAGGGAGGTTATGTGAGAGAATGAAAGGAGCTCAATAAATCTCAGTATTACTTTAATATAACTGATTAAATTTGAGTGTTTTATACATGTTCCCATATGTATACATTCACATTAAAAATAAAGTCTTGTGCAGTGGCATCTGGTGGCAAAGGAAATCAGTACAACAATGTTAAAAAAAAATGAATCTATTTAGAGCTCAGCCTGCAGACTCTCACAGGCGGGCGGGGATCACAGTTGGACATGAGAATGAAGATAGTGTGGAGTAAAAGGCACAGCAGGGAGGTGACACTGAATATGGGAGCAGTTTGTATGAAGGTGGAGTAACTTACCTCTGGCTCATGCCAACAGGACAGTATGAAATGAAACAAACATCAGATGAGGTAAGTCAGAAATGACAGGGAATGGATGTTAGTGCTGAGCAAGTGACTTAATATGCACAGCTAACAAGAATAAGGTGCAAAGTGAGTATGTTACCAGTGGACAAGGCGTGGTTATGAATGTAAGTGACACTGGACAAGGTGAGATAACAGATGCTGACAGTATGAAGGCTTTGTTTCCAAGCTCAAGGTGACACATACTACACTTGTCTTCATCCGAGTTGTCCCCACAGTCGTTGTCATAGTCGCACTGCCAGCGGCCCGGCACGCAGCGGTTGTTCTTACATCTGAACTGGTACGGCTCACATGTCCTCTCAGCTGCACAAAGCACAGAAAAATGTTACAAAAAAACCCCACAATTTGGAAACAACAGTCAGTACCACAAACATCTCTTCAGCACATCTGGAGAGAAGACTCTTACCACACTCCTCTTTTGGTTCATCTGACGCATCGCCACAGTCGTCCTCGCCATCACACTTCCAGCGAGCAGGGATGCAGCGACCAGAGTCCTTACATCGGAACTCGTCCACACCACAAGTCATCTGGGCTGGAGGGGGAAACATTTGGTGGCGGTTACACAGACAGCTAATCAGGATGACTCAGAATGAAGAAAATGAGAAACAAGCTGAGAGTCCTACTGCAGTTGGTGGGTTCATCAGATCCATCCACACAGTCGTTGTCACGGTCACACACCCAGACACGAGGTATGCAGCGTTTGGTGATGGCACACTGGAACTGGGTGGGGGCGCATGTGACCTCAGCTATGTGAAGGAATAACAGATTGTGTAAGAAAAGCAGAAGGTGAAAGAATAGCATTTCAGCCAGGCACTAACGGAAAAAAGGAAAAAAAGGCCTCTACTCACGGCAGTCCTTCTCGTCCTCTCCCTCTCCGCAGTTGTCCTGGCCGTTACAGCGGAAGATGCCTGGGATGCAGCGGCTCGGGTGGGAACATTTGAACTGGCTGGGCAGGCAAACATGAATATCTGCAGAGAAACAGAAACAAGCAGTAGATATGATGCTAATCACTAATCAACAATGAAGTGGTGTTGGTGGCATACAAGAAAAAATAGGGAAGGGTGCAGGTTATTAAAATTAAAGATAATTATTTGGGGTTGAATAAATGTATATAAACAGAGAGACATACCGCAGTTGGCCTCATCTGAGTTGTCCTGGCAGTCATTGTCTCCATCACAGATGTAGGCAGGGTTGGTGCAGATGCCTGTACCACACTGGAACTGCCCCGGCCTGCACTTGAATTCAGCTGTCATGGAAGAAAGGGTCACGATTTATCAGGATCACACTGAACTTACACCACAATATTTTTTAGCATTTCAACTCCACCCTGCAGAATGGCTCCTCTTATGATGAGTTAGAGTAAAACCTAACCCCATGCATGTACTATGTTACAGGACTTCTAATTATCTCTCTCAAACACTCACGGCAGTCTGCTGGCTCGTCCGACCGGTCACCACAATCATCCTCCGTGTCACATTTCCACCAGAAAGGAATGCACTTGTCGTTCTTGCACACAAACTACAGCAGGGAGAGGGAAATTAATCAAAGTGATGATATGGCATAACACCAGAGATTTACTGCCTCAGTCCCGTTGACAAACCAAAAGCTAGCTACTGTATCACTGGGCCACCGGCCAGCTGTCAATAGACGATCCCCAGGTATGAGAAGTTCATCAAACAAGTCGCAGCGAGACATCGAGATATGAAAATCCACTTATCAACTGTAGTCATTAAGTCATATTCACGTTGATGATGCAATGTTTACACAGCCTCCCTACCTGACTGGCTGTGCAGTTGGACATGCAGGTGCGCTGATCATTGGCCAGGTAGAAGTTGGTGGGACAGGCGCACTTGTAGCCTCCACCAGGAGCGAGGAGACAGAGGTTACTGCAGCCGCCGTTGTTCGTCTGGCACGGGTGGTTGAGCACTGGGAACGAGACAGAACAATGGGAAATGTTTTAATCTACAAATCTATTTCAAATCTATTTAATCTATTTATCTACAATAAATATGCATTTCAGAGTCTGTGTGTCTTTGCGTACATTTAAATTTTACATATAATGAATTCCAACACCTTAATGCTTTTTCATTTCTTCTCTCCTATACTAGATGTTCAGTTGGTATGTATCATATTGAAACAGAGTTAGGTACGACATGTTTAGCAGTATGGTTGTGAAATTTTAATTTAAATTTTTTCCATTGTTTCCCCTATTGCCTTAATAGCTTAATACACATCAGTTTCTACATGCTTCTTGTAAGTGCTCTGACCTTCGGGCTGGCGATAGGGATGGTAGATGTGGATGTCCATGGGTCGATGCAGGGTGCTGATCAGTGTGCTCTTGTTGGTACCCAAAGTCTTGTGAGCTCTGTTAATGGACTTCGTCTCCCAGTCGGTCCAGTAGATGTACTCCTCAAACAGAGTCATGGCAAAGATGTGAGGGATGTCGTGGCTTAGAACTGTGAAGCAGACAGACAAAGAACAAATCAATCACATCGTTTATGAGAAAATAACTGAATCATTCTTATTGAAGGTTTCCCATCATGGTCCTAAGTACAATCTAATGCCTTTCTAAATATATTTCAGAAATGTTCGATGTATTTGAGCCCAATAGGTCTCTACGATCTGCAGGAGCTGGTCAGTTAGTGGTGCCCAAAATCAAAATTAAACCAGGTGAAATGACTTTCAGCCACTATGCTGCCCACTGCTGGAACCAGCAAATCTGCCCGAACCATAACTGGCTTTAAAAGGAAGCTTAAAATTTAACTGCTCTATTCTCCTCTGCCTTCATTTAATCTTTTAATCTTGCACTTATTATACTTATTATCTATTTAATAATCTGTGTTGTTATACTGTTCTTAAACTGCTTTCTTATTATGCTTCTTAATTCTATTTTATGCTTCTTTTATTTCTCTGAAGCACATTGAATGACCTCTGTGTATGATCATGTGCTGTAAACAGCTGTTAGCAGTCTACATTCTGACTTGAGGTGAAGTGTGCATACAACATACAACAGCTGGTGTCTAATCAAATAAATATGACAAACAGGTAAACATTATACATGTTTCAAACTTCCATATTATTCTAGAAATTCAATGAGAAAGACTCAAAGACTCAAGATCCAAAGAGAAACTGCTGGTAAACTCTCGCACTGTTAATGACAGAAGCAGGGTGGGGTGCACAGCTACAGCGGCTCCACTATATCTGTGTGTTATGTAATGGGTTCTATGCTTCATTAGGCTTTACACTCCAATTGCACCTTTTCTGCTCCTATATTCTTGTCATATCATATGTTTGCTCTTAGTGTTTGAGGCTGGTGCGTTATGGAGAAACACCATTATTTTCTGTTGTAAAAGACAGCAATCCAAACACGTCACACATGCATGAATAGGCACATTCAGGAAGACACACATGGAGCAGACACACAAACTCTCTCACACACACACACACACACACACACACACACACGGCAGAAGTTCAAAACACCTTGTCATCAAGTGACTGTGATTTCAGCATTGATTTTAACAATTGCTTTAAACAATTAAAAGATTTTTTATCATGTGATAGGAGTGGGTTTACAACATCAGGTCGAACTGAGATATTAGTCAGATCAGCATTAAGCACCCTTTGGTTAATGCTTATCTAAATTCAAACAGACCAAATCTTGTTCTGCAAACACACACAAGGCCACACTGGTGTGTGTGTGTGTGTGTGTGTGTGTGTGTGTGTGTGTGTGTGTGTGTGTGTGTGTGTGTGTGTATCTCAAAGGAGGGGTGCATAACTCACTGGACATACTACTGGTAGACTAACATCACTGAGCTAATACAAGACTATGTGACCTTCTACGATGAATAGCATTTGTAATTGGATATAAATATTGGTTTTTGTTCAACATGCTTCCATCAGCACTGGTTTTCTTGCTGGAACATTATGTTGAATGAAAAAGTCACAATGCTCTTGCACAAGTGAGTTCTATAGATACAATCCCAGACACCCCCAGTTTTACATTATTACATTCTTCATCCAAGGAATGATGGATGCCATAGCTGTTGTGTTGTGTGTTGAGAAGAGCTTAGTGAATGTGAGAAATTTTAATACAGACGCCCGCTGAGCTCCAGAATTCCTCTGCACACCCAGTTGGCTGACAATATGAACTATTGTAGCGAGTGTGCTAGACAACTGAGCGCTATGCAGACGTCATACATGCTAGAGGCCTCACTAATGAGGACAATCTGCCCTATTCAGTGTTTCTGTCCGCTGAGCCTGTGCTGCAGGACTCTATCTGAGCTGCCTGCTTATGCTTGGTGGCATGTATTTATTTGACAAGAGGAAATTCATTCAGCACTTCCTTGATCCACTACCAGCGTAACTCTCATAATTAACTATGTTTGATCATGACTTTAAATTTAAGGAAAAACTCCTGTGAATATTTCTAGGAGCCAATACATAGACCAACACATGCACCTGGAGTCTCACACTGTCAACTATGAGTCAGAGTCTGAGTGTGTACTGGTACATTACCTGTGTGTCTACTGGTGCCATCCAGGCTGGCAAACTCAATGTAGTCCTCCCTGGCATCAGCCCAGTATATACGGTCATTGATGAAGTCAAGGGTTAGTCCATTGGGCCAAGTGATCTTATCCTCTACGATCACACTTCTGTTGGTGCCGTCCATCCCAATTCTCCCAATGTGAGGGTTATCACCCCAGTCAGACCAGTACAAGTATCTGAAGACAAGGGCATAAAGACAATTGTTCTAATTACAGTTACAGTTTAAAATTTAAAATAAATTTCATTAAAATTTAAAACATGTCCTAGAGGTTACCAGTTAAAATAATAAAGACACATAAGCTTAGTTTCAGGTGAGCTATGTTTCTCACCCATAGCGTACGTCCACAGCCACAGCACGAGGTTCCCTTAGGCCGTTGTTAACCAACACAGTCCGGTAGGCCCCGTTGAGCTTTGACACCTCAATGGTGTCCCGGCCTTTGTCACACCAGTATAAGTTTCCGCCAACCCAGTCCACTGCCAAGCCGTCTGGGTTACTCAGGGAGGTCCGGTGTAACACCTGTCAGTACAGTGGGTCACAGGGTTAAACAATGATTAAGTCAGTCCAGTTGGATACTTACACAACTTTCATGAAACTAAGTAAATATTATGGTTAATGTGTTGGCTGTACTAATTAACCAATTGGTCTTCAGTATCAATACAGCTCAAAATTCCCATTAGATAAAACTGCGTCTGATTTCCTCACTGACCTCCATGTTGCTGCCGTTCATATGCATGCGTCGGATCATGCTGCCCTGAGTGGTCACATCTGTCCAGTAGATCATCTGCTCTGCATAGTGGAAGTCCAGCGCCACTGCATTATTCAGACCCTGAAACAAAGGGTGGTACAGTATGAACAGTTGCATGGAGGAACTTCACCTTGATGTGTGTCAGTAGGTTAAATCGAGAACCAAAAACAGGTGAGACGCTCACCTGCTTTATAAGAGTGTAGTTGGAACCATCCAGGTTGAGTTTCCTCAGGTAGTACCGGTTAGCAAAGATTAAATATGGCTCCTCTTCTACAAACACCAAATAGAAAACTTATGCTTCAGGATTGAATTGGCTATGAGCAACCAGCAAAATGCAAACCATGCACGTGCATGCCTTACCCGATGTGGACTTGCAGATGGTGGGGTCATTGGGGCTGAGTTCAAAGCCATCCACGCAGAGACAGTGGAAGCTGCCATGTGTGTTGATGCAGCGCTGAGAACAGGGGTAGGTGGTTGTACACTCGTCTATATCCACACACGTTTTCCCATCTCGCTTCAGCTGGAATCCAGGATGACACCGGCACTGAAGAGGAACGAGAGCACAGGAGATGTGTCAAAATCTCACAGCCTACGGGTTCTGGCACTTCTCACTTATAGTCTGGAGCAATTACAAGGGTCTGCCACCACCTGTCATGAAACCTCTGCCACTCAACCTGATAGATGAGGTTTTTTTTTTTTTTACCAAAAGCCTAATTCTTTCCCAATTCCTATGTTAAGTGGTACCGATATCTCAACACTGATGTGCGCTGCATGAATAGCTTCAAATCTCATTTGCTAAGTTGTCTTACAACAGAGAGCATGGGTAAATGATAAGCTGACATCCACTGTGTCTGTAAAATAACAAGCAATGAACTTTTCATGAGCACATCTGTGTTTTGAAAGAACTCCAACGCACAGTCTCACACTTCCAACTACTCCCTCACTATTATGTGGGAATTTGCAGGATACTAAGCCAGTATATGCACAAAGGAAGTCACACAAATCTGTGATGGTGAAGCTATATACAATAACATGTATGAACTCAAATACTTACTCAATAGCTTCACCACACCCCCATCTGCATAAATACAATGTTTTTGGCATCCAAATTGTTCCTTATCATTTTTAAATGAAGCTCTGGCGACAGCCTCCACACCACAGACCTGAGAGTTCACATAGAGTTCGAGTTGTTCTAAGACTGGCCTCCTACTTTCAAGAAAGAGAGCCAAAACATGTTTTTTTCTTACATAACTGCATGCCTGAAGTGAGTGGTTCCCAACTTTTTTTTCTTTTTTTCTTTTACTTCAGGTCCTCAGTAACACCATACACCCCATTTGTCTGTGAGGTAACTGTGTGTCTATTATAATTTCTTGGCTAATTAAAATCAGTGAGTTCATGAAGTAATTTAATTTGCTTTAATTGCACTTTGACTGAAAACATTTGAAAAAAAAAAAAAAGAAAAAAATCTTTAAAAACAACCAATTAGGTGTTAAGTCTTACCTTGAAGCCAATCTTGAGGTCATCACAGAGCTGCGAGCAGCCACTCAGCTTACTGTTGAGACACTCGTTGATGAAGCAGTTGAGTTCATCAGAGCCATCACCACAGTCATCATTGCGGTCACACAGCAGAGTCTCATTCAAACACTTCCCATTATGGCACATGAAGGCTGACTCATTACACGTCCTCTCTGAAATCATAGGCAAATGGCTTGTTACATTAGTGTCACTGGGCGCAGCTACAGCCTGTCTGAACAAAAAGTTACTCATATCATGACTAATACTTCATTATTTTGGTAGAGAAATAAAAGTTATAAGAAGATTATTTTTTTTTTTTATAAATGGTAACACCTACCTGAGTCAGTGCAGCGTGGGTTCTTGGGAGCTTCATCTGAACGATCCTGACAGTCAAACTCCCCGTCACACTCCCATTTCTTCTGGTTGAGACAGCGACCGTTGGCACAGCGGAACTCTTCTGGACCACATGTTGGATATTCTACACCAGAACAAGAGTATGTTAAATATTAACCTCAGCCTCACTTGGCGGTATGACAAATATAATCACCAATCACATTCTCTCGCTCTCTATTTCTCTTTCATGACACAAATATCACAGACACTCACCACATTCTGGGGATTCATCTGAGCCATCGGAGCAGTCGATGTCATGATCGCACACAAAGTGTTTGGGGATACACTGTCTGTTCTGGCACATGAACTCATTCTCAGCATCGCAGGTGTTGTTGGTGTACACTGGAACCAAAAGAAACACACTGTTAATGGACATTGAACTTAGTTGGCGCACATTTTTCATCAATCACAACACAGAGAGGACAGATTTTTCCATGGGGGTATTTTGTAACTGTCCCACTCACTACAGCCAGCCTTGACACTCTCATCGGCTCCATCAGGACAGTCCTTGTCTCCATCACACTTCCAGCGTTGAGGCACACACATGTGGGAGCCGGGACACTGGAAAGCCTCTGGACTGCAGGTCTTGGACTCTGTGACAACATTATGGGAAAGTTACTTGATGATGTAACATCAGGAAGTCTTACGCCTACAGTCCAATGTCTTCACTGGGCGTGGGAGAAAGTACTTTTACATTGGTGAGTTTAGGTAATATGTCACTTACTGCATTTCTGGTCCTCATCAGAACCATCACCACAGTCATCAGAGCCATCACATACCCAATGGCTGGAAATACAGCGGTGGTTCCCACATTCAAACTGGGTGGATGTACAAAATTTGTCTGCAAAGGAAAGCAAAGAGAGCATTTCAGAGAAAATTATTTAATTCACCCTAACCGTAAATCATGTTTTTCCATGTGCAGCAGGAAGCCTAAAGAAAACAGTCTGGTTTTTCTGGTATGCTTTGTGTTTTCAAGAAAGTTCAGGGTATTTTGTGGAAGACTGACCACAGTGTGTCTCATCAGCTCCGTTCTCACAGTCATTCTCCTTATCACAGGTCCAACTCATAGGAATGCAGCGACCGCTGGGACAAGCAAAGAAGTTGACCGGACATTTAAGCTTCCTTTTATCTGCAAGACAACAGAAAAAAAAAACATGATATAAAATCTTTGAATGCTGTCAATTTTTCTTAAATTGTCAGAGGGGAAACAAAGCATGTAACCTGGGCAGTTTCTCTCATCGGAAAAGTCTCCACAGTCGTTGTTGCCATCACACACCCACGAGGACAGATAACACAGAGTTGTTTTCTCACAGCTCTGGAAGGACACTCCTTTCACTCCCAGGCGGAAGAAACGGGAGCAGTCTGTGGGCTCTGAGAAACATGGGAAAAGCCTTTAAAAACTACCTCAAACCTCATTCTTTTTAATTCATAGAGGAGAACCGACTTTTCCATTAAAATGCCCCTGGTGAATAAGGAGGGACAGGAAATACTGCTGAAGTGGAATTATCTTAGATGACTTACGGCAGTTCATTTCATCACTAGCATCTTCACAGTTGACCACCTGGTCACAGCGGCTAAAGTTGGAGATGCAGCTTCCATCTTTGCATTGGAACTCTCCTACTTTGCACAGGGTCACTGCAGAAAGCAGCAAGTTTTTAAATTCAGAAAGGGGGAGCAAATACACCTTCAAAAGCAAATACAACTTCCTCATTAAGTCAACTTTATAATTATGTACCTGCAAAAGAGCATTTCATTAGGCTAATGAAACCACTCTGCAGTTCTTCTCTGAGGAGTCATTTCAATTTGCAGATCAGGCAGTTTGATCAGCAAAAACATTGCAGTGTTGTGTGAGCAGAACAGTTAAAATGTGTCCAAATCTGGTAACATGTAAACCTTAAACAGGGGACTAACATGGTTTCTTTGTGCACCTGTCACCTTTTCGGTTAGCTGCACCTATAAAATGGACATGAATTACTTACTGTTGCAGGGCAGTTCATCTGAATGGTCTCCACAGTCATCCGTGCCATCACACCAGAACTGGTGGCCAATACAGCGGCCATTCATGCAGCGTCGATAGCCTTTCTTACAAATTCGATTGGCTGTGGAGGAAGAGCAGTTGATTATAGTTAACTTTGTTAAGTGCAGAATCATTTTTTTTGCATATTTTAAATATGACCTAATTCACCAGTTCACTATTTTATAACTGAAACTGATAATCTGTACTGTATATCTTAATTCAAATGGACTACTCTTTTCTCTCTACTGCACCTGTTAAATCAAAATGTAAATTTCTTTCCCTGGTCACATATTAGCATATTAGCCCATGCTCCCCCTCATGATCTAAAGATTTATTTCACTTGTGCACTCATTCTAAATTGCCTTGAATATGACAATCAGCTAATTACCTGCAAATTATAAAATAAAAAACTATGACCCGTGAGCTCATTGTACACTAACAAATAGCTCCTTAAAAAACTCACCACAATAGGACTGTTTCTCATCAGACTTGTCCTTGCAGTGGGCCATGCCGTCACATGTCAGGCTGTAGTTGATACAGTCACCGTTTCCACATTCAAAGTCATCCACACTTCCACATGACACGTTCAATACTGGCGAGGTAGAAACATTTGATTTAAACGACAATCGACCTTTTAATGAAGAGGAGCCTTTGTATATTGTGGTCCTAAAATAATCTCTCTCTCTCTTACAAGAGCAGGTGTTGTCTTCCAGAAGTTGTCTGTCTCCACGGCAACTGCAGTTGACCCGTCCATCAGATGTGGGCAGGCACAGGTCTTGGCAACCTCCGTTATTTGTTCGGCAAGGAGAAAACTCACCTGAGGAATGTATAACACAGAGTGTCAAGGAGACTTTTCTCTCTGCATGTCAAATGACAAAAGGCCCAGCATCATGTATGTAGTGTATCTAATGATATGAAGTCATAATACTTTGGCACAAAGAAAGTGTCATTAAAACATTCTGCATGAACTATTCTGATTGACCATATTTAGTCTGTATGAGCTGCCCTCCATGATGTACAAGATAAGACTCTGCAGCCATGCTCGTGGCTCTCTGAGGCTAAACGCCAACACCAACATGGCAACACGCTCACAATGGTAACAAGCAGTTATAATAAACCACACTCACCATCTTGGTTTAGTGTGTTAGCATGCCAACATTTTCTAATTAGCAATAAACAGGACAAATTAAAATTTTGACACGATGATGGCTCAAGAGAGAAAGTCAGGAGAACACCAAAAGTGATTACAATTTATCCTGACGGGAACATGAGCGTCTATCAGATTTCATGGCAATCCATCCGATAGTTGTTGAGGTATTTCAGTCTGAAGCAAAGTTGTGGACCAGCAGACTAACTGACAGACCAACAGCTTTTATAATACCAGTAGCATTATATAATTGAGAGGGGCAACCTATACAAACCGTACAATGACTACAGTGAATGATACTCACAGCTGTTGGTGTCATTAGCCACAGCAATGATTCCCATTGGCTGCTGAGGGATGTCAGCGCGCAGCACTTTCATGTCTCCTCCCGTGTACTTGTCAGCTCTGAGTACGGCCCTCCTCACCCAGTCAGTCCAGAAGATGTAGTCTCCATACACAGCCAGGCCAAACGGATGGACAGGTTCATTCTTCAACAACACCTGAAGAAGAAAATTGCAGGCATAAATTCAATGAACACTGAAATCTAACTCAACGCCTTGATGGTTTTTTTTTTTTTTTTTTTTATAGAAAAATGAAAGGGCTGTCTCACATAACGGCTGCTTCCATCATATTCACAGCGTTCAATCTTGTCCAAGGTGGCGTCGGAGAAGTAGAGTTTCTCAGCACGGTGATCTATGGCCAGGCCATTAGGAGTTTTAATGTCACTACCGATGATCACAAGCACGTTGGCTCCATTGAGAGACGCCCTCATGATGCTGGGAGCCTGCTCATTCCAGTTGGTCCAGAACATGAGACTATAGTGGGAACAAATGCAGGACAAGCATTATGATGTGCAGTGGGAGCTCCCAAAATGTCTTGGTATAAAAGTTATGGCTGAGTGAACTAAAATAAATCTGCTGTTCAAAAAGAAAAAAAGAAGGAAACACTATTGGAACTGGGCCCTGAGTGCAGAACACCAAGCTTCAGTGTTAATGACTCACTCCTGACACTCGTCCAGCACAAAGGCTCTGGGGTGGTCTTCTCCAGACATAGTGACCACAGTGTTGCGGTTATATGCCACAGAGCGGCTCTGGTCCACAGTGTGGCGAGTGATGGTAGAGGTTGTGTAACTGGTCCAGTACAATGTATCCCAACCGCGGTGGTACGCCAGGCCCTCAACTGACCCAACATCTGCGGAACAGAGAAGGAAGAGGTTGGCCCTTAGCAAATATTTTGGACCCTTGACGATAGTTTTTCAGCCTGTGGTTCCTTTGTTGCTGTGCAGCCAAAGCTTGAGAAGAACACACTCTTTATTTCACTATAAAAAAAATATCACCTCTCAGGGGTCTTAGTTGGAGCTTTAATGAGGACCTTCACTGAGAATTCATCAAATCATTAATCACTGTCACAGGTGTAACAAGTTGCCCCCATGGTTAACTCTGTGAGGCTTTATTAAAGAGGCAGCGGTAAATGCTTTTAAGGTTTTCCCCATCTTCCCACATCAATTCATGAATGGAAAAACGCTGCGAGGAAGATGGTCAAGGTTAAAAAGAAAAGTTAAAAAAGAAAAGAGTAAAATGGAAGCGGTACCACACAGATCCAAGTATTTACCACGCCTGCTGTTCCTGGAGAGAGTTTAAAGAGTCTGTATCATCCTGTCATTTCATGGCTGGCTGCCTGCACATACAAATACAGCTCCCTGTGGACACACTCATTCATGGTGACTCCTTGTTCTGGGAGGAAAATTGCAAGTAGAACAGCTTGAGACACTTTAGAGACACGGAGCAGGGTGAAGAAGTCAGCCGTGAATGGCAAAGATAAAGCAGCTGCTGCTCTCGATATCCATCGTCCTTTCATCTTGCGACCCCCACTCATAGTACATATAGTAGGAACACTATTTTTATCTGTGCTTTCCACATGACACACAACATCATGGAAAAGGACACTGTACTGCAGTCTTACGGGCTCCAAGCTCTGCATCCATCTGTTTTTAGTCACACTAGCAACCACCTTTATGACCACTTACACCCAACAATAAAAACCTGACCACTCCACACAACTGTTTGCTCTTGGCTGAAAGTCAATAATTGTCCTTTAAGAGATGTTTCAGATGAATGTCAAAGTGCTACAATCAACCTTAATGCAGGACAATTTTAAGGCAGAAAATGCTGTTTACACAGCGTCACGCAAATAAAATCGCTTGTGTTTTAATTTCATCCCTAGTCAGGTTGCAGAAAACACAAATGAGAAAAAGGTGTGCATGAGCAGCTAACTGCTGGGATTAAAGGAAGATCCCACGCTGAACAGGAATGAGTAAAGTTCGTTCAAGCCAGTATTATGTAACGAGAAGCAACACAGTGTCCCCTCCCCTTGCCTGGATCAGCTCAGCCCCTGGTTACTGTGCAAACAATGGAGAAAAGCTGTTGGGAAGACCATTGCCTCTCAGAAACAGAACCTTTCTGACAATCACAGGAGTAGAGCTGTAATCCAAGTGACACCTGAAAATGACTAAGCTTTTGTTACTCTTTATTCTGATCACTACTTATTTATTTTCCTTCAATGATTGAATGTCGTGTTAATTGTGCAGTGACTCTTCTGCTGGTGGAGTCTACAGATTACAAGTCTGCGAAGAGCTTCTAAATGGACAGTATGCCTCCTGCCACGGTGACCACTTAGCATCAAGTAGCATTGACTGTTTTTAAAGTGGAATGTCTGTTAGCAGATACTGGGATGAATTTGTCCACTGTTACCTGCTTCAAGAAATCAATACAGCCATAGAGTACCTGCTGCACATCTCTCCAATTTTGTGCCAAACTCCTCTTTGGATTACACAGGAGATGCTGAGACAGCCAAGGAAAAGCCAGCCTGCTCTTTAAGGTCATGTTTTTATTGTTGGATAGCACATTATGGCACCTTGATATATTTTTTTTTTTTCAGAAAAGGAAGGTGGCATATCTAATTATTTTTAAATCCCTTACATTTCTTCAAACAGCTGGAAAACAGGAAGAGACAAAATTTTAGAGGGATTCAGCCACATGGTGACAGGAGCACGTGTGACTCAGGAGACAGTGGACTTCAACCATCTCTGGGCACTTGAAAATTAATTTTGACCAAATAATAATGGACCATATATTTTTGCGAGTCAAATTTTCAGCTCGACACACAAACTAAAAATAAGCTGCAATATACTCTTTCTATTCTGTTTTCCAGAGGGAGCATCGACTATCAATGTCAATGAAGTGGTCAACTGACAAGTATGATATTAACTGCTTAACTAATTGCTATTGTTATGAGAGTATTGGCTGTCTTAATGGAGTGTGGTCATGCCTGTGACTAACACAATTTCAGACATGAAATGGAGTCAACAAATGCATCACCCAGACACTTTGTGAACACGCTGCTCTGATGCGTAACATTAACAGGCCATTACACTAATTACTCAGACTTTTATTGTGAATGCATGGAGACTTTGGGGATGCAAGGAAACTGCAGCAGCCTTGGCGAAATGAACCGGGCAGATGAGACTTTGATTAAGGCTGTGGTGCCTATCCTGGATGGGCTAATCCTGGTGACTGGCCTTGTTGGCCAAACCCTCGTCATCACCATCCTCACTGGCAGGAGGAGGAAAGGAAGTCAACCCCCGCATGGTACAGACACCCTGCTGCTTGCTCTGAGTGCTGCTGACCTGCTGCTGCTGCTCTGCCTCCCCTTCCACACCTCTGCTATCACCCTGGGCTTCTGGCCTTTTGGCAGCTTCCTGTGCAAGGCCATCAGCTTCCTGGGTGTGGCCTGCTCGGCTGCCTCAGTTTTTACCCTGGCAGCTTTGGCTGTGACACGCTACCTCACAGTGGTTCACCCCACCTGGGTGTACCGTTCAAGAATGCACAGACGTATAAAGTTGACAGTAGCTCTGCTCTGGATCCCTGCCTCAGCCTTGGCAGCTCCGCAGTTTGCCTTCCGCACCATTACCGTGTCCAGCGCTGTGTACTGCTTTGCCTTCCTGTCTGACTTCAGCCAGCTGGTCTACAGCATCGCTCTTTTCCTGTTCGGCTTTGCGCTACCACTAGGCATCATTGTACTGATGTATGCCAAGATCTACTGTTTTCTTCAACATGCGCGTCTGCTGGGGAACGCTCCCCAGCTGGAACGCTACCAGAGCCAGGTCACTCACACTTCAGCTCTCCTGGTCCTGGTCTTCACTCTCCTGTGGCTGCCCTCCTATGCCCTCATGTTCTCCTTCATTGGAGGAACCATAACAGGCTCACCTGGCTACAACACTATTGCCATCCTGGCCAGACTGTTGGCATCCTCAGTAGCAGTGGTAAACCCTGTACTGTATGGCTTTGTGTCTCAGAAGTTTAGACGAGACTTACTAGAGCTGGGGAGAGAGCGCTGGGCATGGTGCAAAAGCTGTCTGATTGGCTGTCCTCATGTGATGAGCAGGGACATGGTACAGCCCTTTGAGCTGGACACAACCTCAGAGAGAGGCCAGAACTGAGTCTTCGACCAGAAGAAAACAGTGCTACCACATAATTTACTTAACCCTGGAATTAAAGCTACTTAATTTGGACAAAAGTAATATTGTGATATTAATAAGAATATTTTTACTATATCTCTTTACATTTATATATCACTACATGGAAATGTATGCAATATTACATATGACATACTCGAGGTGATGTGAATTTCAGAATGAAGTAAAACACAGACACAGTATGAACATATTATTATGTTATAGTTCTAATAAAAGATAATGTAATGATCATTTTGATTTATTGCACAGTCTCATCTGGACTAGTGCTCTCCTCTAACTTTGGCTGGATTAACTCTTCCTTGTGGAATAAATTCTGTAGTGAGTGGATGAAATAATAATGTGGAGAAACTAACCATGATTCTTACAATCTGCTCAAACCCTGATCTCAAGGCAACATCAATAAACACACAAACCCTGTGCACTTTTCTTGTCCTTCCTATCAAATAATTTATGTTTTGAATATTGCTTGCTGAGAACAGGTTCGGTCCAAGGCTTTTAAATGCAATGTTTTTCTGGATGGAGTTCAACAACCTACTCTTGAATCATTTAAAAAGAGTGTGTTTTAAAAGACACTTCAGTGTTGAAACAAGCAAAAAGCAGTCTCTGTGTGCGCGTGCGTGCGTGCGTGCATGCGTGCGTGCTTGTGGTCTTCAAGCAGCAGCCCTAAGTGATGTCAGTCTCCTTTGGTTGAGAAGCTGCAGCTGTGTGTACATAACAGTGGATCCTCCTGGGTGCTTGTGTTGTCAAAATGTGTGATGATGGCTGTTTACAGTGTCGAGGGGACGAGGGACCACATTCAATTATTAATGGAGAGGATGAAAGAAAGGGTACCAACTAGGCAACACAGTTGAAATATATGTATTCAGACTGAGTGGAGGGAAAGGTTTAGGTGTAGCAGTGAGTGATGCTTAGTGGAGCTTTGTGGATTTTCTGATGGAAAAAATGAATGCGATTGATGACTCCACACTTACTGTCCACCACAATCTTGCGGTCTGTGCCGTCATCATTGATCTGCTGGATGTTGCCAAAGTGGATGTCGCTGAAGAAGACGCGGTTGGCTCCCTTCCCTCCACCGCCATGGTAGTCAAAGCTGAGGGCGATGACATTCTTCATGTGATCAGGGTCCTCAAACGGCTTTATTGGCGCATTGAGGTTCGTTTCATCCGACAGGTGAATGCTCTTCAGAATGGTACGCTCCGAGTACAGCAAGTATCCGTCATAGTCGCGGCAACTGCGGTTGTCCTCTGCCAGCATGCCATGAGCACAGGCGCAGGTGCGCTCCCCATTGCCACGGAAAAGACACAGCTGTTCGCAGCCGCCGTTGTTGTCTTTGCAGACGTTGGTGCCTGGGGAGAGTGTGACACGTTTATGGGGTGTGTTGTTAAACAAATAATGAGCCTGGTTAAACACAGCATTTCATCGATTCCTGGGGGGTGTTTATTAAGTTGGGAGTTTTTATCATTGTGCATGTGAGGGCTTGTTCTTATCTACAGTGAGGACAAACACGCAGCAGCCCACTGTGCTTGTGAGGACGTTTAAACTTTTTATTGAAAAAGCACATTTTTAGGGTTCATGTTTAAGTTTGGATGTTTGTGTATTTGGGTGATTTGTGTGTTTTTCCTACCTTGCTGCCTGGCCCTGTTGAAAACCTTGATGTCTTTCAGTTGTACGCCAATGCCGGTCCTGAGTTGCACAGCATCTGTTGCATTGTCTTTGCTGCCTCTCTTGATGGAGCCATTGGCATGAGTCCTAAACAAAAGACAACAAAACTGTGAGCCAATTCACACTACATTACAATATGAAATATTTCATATGATTCAAAGGCTGTTATTCATTAAAAAGTATGGATAGATGATTTAGAACAATGGAAAAAGATGGTTCAACGATCAAACAAACATATCAACTTCACTGACCTATCACTCCAGTAAATGTATTCCTCAAAAACAGACACAGCAAACATGTCCATGTTGTTGTTGGCAAGCACCAGCTCCCTGTTCTCTCCAGTCTCCAGGTTGATGCGTTCAATCTTGTCTGTCCTGGCATCGCACCAATACAGAAGACCCTCCTGCAGAGACGGAGCAGGAATGAAATAGTGTCGATTATTCAAGTCACATTTTCACAGCGCAGATTAAACATAAAAGGTATTTAGCAAACTGTTTTGATGGTATCCTGCTGTAAAAACACTAAGACATCAAAATCATTTTAATGTCCGCTTTAGCTTGTGTGCTACAGCACTTAATGTTAACAAATCAATATATAACAATGGGAGATTTTTATATTATATTGTGCAAAGAAAGGAACTATTGTGAACTACCATTGTAGCTACATTAAATCAATTTAACTACATATGATAATTTAAATTGCATTTTATGAAACCGGGGCGTATAAAGAATCAGTAACAATAATGATAATTCTCAATGCACAGCAGAGCATGGTCCAGTCTCTGAAACATCATAGTGTATCTGTTCAAACTAGACATCAAATAAGAAAAATGTGTTTAGGGATATGTAAAGCAGTATGATTTCAGCTTTAGTCCACACCTCGTAGTCGATGGAGATTCCATTCGGCCAACTGATGCTCACATTGACCATGACCAATCTCTGGGAGCCGTCCAACCGAGAGCGCTCAATACGAGGGTACTGACCCCACTCAGTCCAGAACAGATACCTGCACACAGCGACACGAGGAGATTTGAAAGTGCATGTCAGGGGAAATAAGAAAGACAACTATATAAAAGTACTTTAACACTATTGCAGAGTTAAATTGTTGGTAGAAAGTCTTACCCTTTCACTGGGTGGACAGTTATGGCTCTGGGTTTGTCCAGGCCCTGGGAAATGACGACATAGCGGAACGAGCCATTCAGCCTGGCCACCTCAATCACGTCGAATCCCTGGTCAGTCCAGTAAATATTTCCTGTGAAAGTAAAGGGATATAAATCAGCTACTTCTACATACTGTGCTTGTGCAATTATGAAGTATGCAAGTGTTGAACAGAATTAAAATAGGGTTTCGAATCGGCTTTGTCTAGACCTGCTATCCAGTCAACGGTGATGCCCTCCACCCGGCCGATGCCATTGGTGACCACATCTTCTCTCCACGTCTGATCTCTCTTAGCCCTGCTGATGGTGCTCAGGCCCATGTCCACCCAGTAGATGGTGTCATTCTCTGAAAAAGAAAAGATCTTTTGTGTCACTACCTACCAATACCCACTTCACTTGGATAATGACAGCTTCAGGATGTCACTCAAGCGCAGCCATCTAGTTACTAATGTCCCTCAGTGTCACTCACCTGCGTGGAAGTCGATGCCGACGGCCAGAGAGGTGCCAGACACTGGCACCAATGCGTCAGATTTGTCTGCTGGGTCGAGTGGAATTCCTCTGATTCCCTCATGAACAGAGTAAAGAAGGAAAGAGCCCATACCTGCTCAGAGAGAGGACAATCACTTTTTGTTTTTAGGACATACTGCATTTCTACTGTATGTTTGAATGTAGCTGTGAAAGTGTCTTACCTTCACAGGACTGCTGTCCTGTCTTGAGGCTGTACCCTGCGGTACACATGCAGGCCCTGGTTGTTGGTGAGGTGGGGAGACACAGCTGTGAGCAGTCACCATTGTTGTTACTGCACAGGTTGATACCCGCTACAGGAAAGGAAGAAGATCAGTGAGAAACAAAAAAAAAAACTGAGAAATGGTTTTGAGACAGAATAAAAAGCAGTAACTTTTTTTTTTTTTTCCAAATTATACAATTACATAATTCTTACCTTTCTGCACATCCTCATCATAGATCCTCATGTGCATCATAGGGGACGTGTTGTTTCGCAAAACCTTCCAGGTTCCTCCATCCTTCTTGTCACATGTTCCTATCTGGTCAGTTCCTTGATCTGCCCACCACAGCTTGTCTCCTACAGTGAGGGAAATTGATTCACATCATTGTATGTTACCCCCTCGACATGGGCTGGTGATTCTGAGATATGGATCTGCCTTGAATATAAGCAGTAATATGATGTAACTATTAAAATTGCATACAGAAAATGAAGAGTAGTAGCATTATCTTTTTCATCTTACCCATGATAGCCAGTGCAGTAGCCTTGGTAAGTTTGCCTTTAACACCATCCAGGATCTCCAGTTTAGATCCATCCATCTGACACCGGTTAATGGTGCTGTTTCCTGAGCTGATCCAGTACAGCTGCTCTTTTTCATAGTCAATAGAGAGGCCTGAGAGGAAGGAATAATGACGCTATTATAGATACACACATCTATGCTTAATCTGTACTTTCACACTATAGAGTTAAACAGAAATTCAGTATTATTCCGCTGTCAAATATTCTTAGGAGGAGGGGGTACATCAGCTTACCTACTGGTCCCTTCTGATTGGTGAAAAGTGTGGTGCGGTTGCTACCATCCATGTTCGCCATGCTTATGTTGTCACCATCAGTCCAGTAAAGTTTCCTGAGGAGGGATATGAACAGTATTAGATGTGGAGAGGAGCTGAAATCTATTTTCTGAAGAAGAACAACACTCTACCAAAGACCCATTACAGAACAAAGAACATCAGGGGGAGAAACAAGTAGGTCAATGAAGAAGAAGCATTAGGAGACTGACTGCTGTGTATCAAACACCTAGACCAAAGTGTACTCTTCTGAACAATAAGTTTAAGTAAGTAAAAGTAAGTAAACTAAGAAAACTGTGCAATCTGGTCAATTAAAGTCAGTAGAAACTTAATGAATTATTATTGAAGAAGAGAAAAAGAACCCAGAAAAAGAGCATCAGATGGAGTGATCACATTTTAGCCTGACTGACTGGAACACTCACCCCAGTAGAGGGTGCACCACCAGACAGTGGGGCTTGTCTAACCCCTGGATGACAGCATTCTTGAAAGATCCATCCAGTCTGGCCACATTGATCTGCTTCTTATTGGCATCATAGCTGGTCCAGAAAAGGTTTCTGGACACCCAGTCTACAGCCAGCCCATGGGCATTAGGAAGGTCTGGGGAGTTTCAGAACCACAAAGGAAAAGGTTATAGCTCCATGAGCATGCAGTGTCCAGAAACTCGGAATTTCTGGACTTTCAGACAGAAAACTGTATTTATGAAAGTCTAAACTTTCCTAGTGAAATAAAAAGAATTAAATCAAAACAGGAGTAACAAGACACTCCTGGGATTGTTCCTACCAGCAGACACAACAGTCTCCACCCCTGTGCCGTTGATGAAAGCTCTTTTGATGGTCTGTGTTCGAACATCTGACCAGTAGATGCGATGCTCCACAGCATCATAGTCCACCGCTGTCACATTGTCTATGTCCGGGACAGTGAAGGAGATGATGTAATTGTAGTAAGGGTTGTCGATGTCGACACCTCGGATCTCGATCTGACGAGCATAAAGGAGGAATTTGCGGGACTCTGAAAAAGAAAAACACACACAGAGTAAGAAATACTTTTAATCACTTCTATTGCATTTTTAGAAATGGTTTCTGTGTTTCTTGTCTACAAATGAAGAGAATGACAAAAAGAGGAAATGCAGATATACACTAGTGGTGTCACAATATACCAGTATTGATGACAACCGAGACATTTAAAAAATGAAATATTGATATTGTGTTAATAATACACATAATGCAGATGTTAGGCCTTGTGGATCTTTTGTTTATCAGTTCATCTGGTTGCCTTTTCACTATCTATAAAGTGTAATTGTTCTTTTTGTACAGTTTTGGTTACAGACTCTCTCAAGGACACACAAACACAAAAACTAAATGAAAGATTAATTTGACTAATAGTATTTGTTTTCTTCAAATTTTGTATATATATTTAATTACAATAATATCGCAACAGCCCTAATATACACATATGGAATCAGTTGGGCAGCTTTTCTAACCTGCATGTCTTTCACATGTGCAAGTCCAGTGTTAGCCTTGAGACTTAACATATGATTTAGGATGACTTGAGGCAGAAATGCTTTTCTCGGTATAGAAATCCCCTTTCTCAAGTTCAGGTTTGTCCAATTCCTACTGTCATAAATTCAGAGTGATTAAAGGTTTAGTTAAGTTTAGGCTTCTTCTCACTGTACTAACAACACAATCAAAAGGAGGGTCAAACTGACCAGTTAGTAACACGTTGCCGTTGTCGAGGCTTGATTACCTCTAGGGAGATGGCAGGTGGATGTAACAGACAACTCCCTCTCAATGAAGTGTGTGTACAAATGAAACTCTGTGGTGAATGTGTCAGGGTACGAAAAAAAGAAAACCTCAGTTTGGCTGAAACAGCTCAGCTCCCTGAAAAATCCCGTGTTAACAGAGAATGCATCAGATGCCCTCTAATCCAATTATCCTTACATCTACACCGCTGAGATGAGGATTCTTCTGTAGAATGCTCAACATTTAGACAGACACTCGGAGTGAGAGGATGTGCTGACATGCACAGAAATTCTCACAGCTACCCCTCAAACTCATCCTGAAACCCACTCATGAAATCACACTACAATAAATGAAGACCTCAGCACATCACTAGTTACAGTCTTTTATATGAAAGTGAAGAAGGCTGTGTGGCGCAAACAAAGATGCAATCATGTCTTTAGTCATAAGAGACGGCAGCTAATGATGCTGATGTCTCGTTCGGGAGAAGACCGTCGGGAGAACACGCCGCAGTCCTCAAAGTCGTAAGAAAAGACTCCTGCAAACAAAGAGTCTGCCCGTGGCTCCTTGATGACAAGGACTTTTGTGTCATCACTGCATTGCGTGTATATTCTCCACGACAGTGGTTTTTAAGGTAAGAGAAAATGTCTGTAGGTGTGTGTGTGTTTGTAAGAGTATAAGTGTGCAACAGTATCTGTCCTTACCTTTGCAGGTGCGTTTGTCAGGCTGCAACTTCATGAGGTGAGGGCAGGCACAGGAGAAGGTCTGGTTAAAGTTGATGAGACAGAGGTGGGAGCAAGGCCCTCTACCATCACTGGTGGCACACGGGTTGGGAGCTAAAAGAGAGAGAAGAAGAAGAGGACATGTGGTATATGAGAGACACAGATAGAGAGGAGGAGGCATTTCCTTATAGGCTGCAGTGAATATGATATTTCAACAATTTAGAAAAAAGCATTTAAGTGACCTGTACAGTCTTGTATCAGACTAAACCAATAGCTTGAATGTGAGATGCAGTTTCCAGAGTGTCACAGTCAGGAGTTATTTTCTCATTTTCCTGAGTGTAATGGACCTCTCCATCAATGAACCCTCAAGGAAAATGAGAGCGCAGAAACAGAGTTTGTCTACCAGACCTGTCAACACAGCTTGTTGCCTCATCACTGTCATGGGCATTGGTTGCAGCTGTCGATCAACAACGTTGTGAGATCTCTCTTTTTCTGCCTCTAATTACAGGACCTAGTGCCTCTCTGCTGCCCACACACCCCTGGGATCCCATAGCCATTGGCTACTGAACATCAAGGTGACAACTCAATGTGACAGAATCCTGCAAAACAATTCTCACAGTCCTACTGCCATCTTGCCAATCATGTGTGTCTCTGAGATCAACACATGACATTTAAATCACAGGAGGAGGCTTTTATTTCCTACCCAGCCGGTGGGAAATGCCAAACAGAGGTGACTTTTTGATCAGCAAGGCAGCAAGAGGCATCCAAATTGCTGCCGGTGTGGGGAGACAACGTGGCTCACAGCTCTAAAAGGTCAGCTGATCTTGGGGGAATAGGAGCTGTGAATCAACATGGTCGCAATGAACTGTGAGCTTGTCCCCATTCTCCTTAGAGTTAAGGTCCAAATCAGTCAGCTGGGTGACAGGCAGCGGTAAATCGGTGATATAGGTTCTCTCTATCTGTGAATGTGCGTTTCTCTATGAGCATTTATGCATCTGTGTCTGGTGTGCAACCTACCCTGGGGTTGTCTGGACGGATGATAGACCTGCAAGTCAAAGGGCTGTGTGTTGGTGCGCTGGACTACAGTGACATTGTGTCCTGTCCATTTGTTGGCTTTGGCAAGAGTGTTAGTCCTCCAGTCAGTCCAGTAGACCTCGCCTCCATACATGGTCACAGCAAAGGGGTGGGATAAATACTCATGTCCCCGCAACACTTCAATCAGCCCAGAACCGTCGTACATGGCAGAGTAGATAGCATCTGACCTGGAGAGGGATTTAACGCACAGATGTATACTTTACATAACAGGGGCAACATGTGTATCAGCTTAAGTATATGCATGTTGCTCGTGTGACTAGAAGAGTGTGTAGATGGTACGTAGTTTTACAGAAGCACAGCACCTCTGGATGTTTATTACAACATGTATAATAACAAGAAAAGAGAAAAAAGACAGAGCAAGTGAGTGATGCAACCAGTGAGTGGGTGGGTGCAGTGAAATGAAAGCACTCTGTATATTCAGAGACTAGTGGCAAATGCTACCTGGCATCAATCCAGACAATGCGTCTTTCCATGTAGTCCACAGTGAGTCCGTTGGGCCAGCCGCCACTGCCAGTTTCCCTATGGATAGTGCGCCTGCCTTCACCACTCATAGATGCTGCCTCAATCCTGGGGAGACTGGCATCCCAGTCTGTCCAAAATAGAATACTGCCAACAGAAAATAATCAGTGTGAGGGGGGGGATTATCACAGATGTGTAAAAGGTATATACATGTCACTTTCAAAGAGAATACTGTGGGAGGAATGCATCTATGTAATTTATTCTATGTAAGAACAACACACACATGTAAGGGGTGTTTATGGCTTTAGAATGCCTTGTTCTATGTCCCTTACCCGTCACGAGGGTCTAGGGCAATAGCCCGGGGATGCTCCACTTCCCCAGCCAGCAGGGTGGTTCTCATGGTCCCATCCAACTTGGCCACTTCAATTTGGTCCAGATTGCTTTCCACCCAGTAGATGTTTCCTGCTATCCAGTCCACAGCCAGACCTTCTGGAGTAGCCAGTCCATACTGGATCACCACCTCAAAACTGGTCAGGGCTAGACAGGAACACACAGAGAAAATGGGACTTAAAACAGAGACTGATCATTTGTTGCATTTTATGGCATTTTAATGTCAGTGGTCTTTAAAGCAGAAAAAAAGAGCAGTTGTGATCCAGCTAATTTAGTTTAATAGCTTGGCTCATTTCACATTCTCCAGGGTGAGCGAATCTCTAGCCAGCACATATGGTTCATTGCAAAAAAAATAATCCCTAACAAACACAGAGTTGTTTAGAATTCTTTACTCTTGTGGAATCCGTCAGTGAATGGCATGCACTGCTGCTGTGTCAGTCAGTTCGACCTCGATTAGCAGTATCTTCCCAACCCCACTGCCCCACTTCTAAGAAAGACCTCCCTCTCTTTTTATTATTTCCCAGAAACCACTGGCTGTCATGCAAACTAAGTGCAAAACCAAAATGTGTCATCATCTCTGGCTGAAGGCGATCAAGACAAGTTCTTCACAAGTCCTTCCAGTAGTAATTAGAGGGAGTGGGATAGGTCTTCTTCAGTTTGCTTAAAGGAATGCTGGAGTTATGGCTGCCCTTCTGTGTGTATGGGTGGGTATGGGTATCTGTATTAAGAAGTTGGCACAATCCAGTGTATGCCAACAACTTTGGAGATGCTGAAATTGCTTCAATAACAAGCAGCAGGAGCTGATGTATGAGTTGTTCACAATGTCTCGGCTCAGAGGCCCTGTTTTAATGGTGAAGTTGGATGGCTGGGAACTGGAACTACAGTGTGTTGTGCCTCCTACGCTACATCAGTGTTCTGGCTGCAGTCACGCACAACGAGTACTGAGATAAATGGGAAGAGACAAAGCCTTCCGTGTGCCCCCTAAGTGCTGTGCTGGGAACACAACCTTGATTGGCAAGGAGACCTGGGGTTTTGGAGCAGGAAAGGCCGACCGTGACCTGGGAGATTTATTCAGGGTCACAGACCGCCACTGCTGACCACAGACTCTTTTTAAAAACATTTGGCTCTGAGAAATTACAGAGTGTATTTGCTCAGCGGAAGTTCATTTCTATGAAATGCACAGTTAAGCACAAACATGATTTGCTATCTCAGAAGGAACAGTCCACTTTGCTATTTTCATTGTACTTACAAAGAGATGACACTGAAAAATGAACTCATTACAATGTAAATTACACTTTACTGAGTAGCCATTCATTCCACCACCCTATCTATCTCTCAGCATAACCTAAAATTACAGAAAGCTTTAGCTTACTGGCTTCCTCACCTCCATTTTCAGACAGTTTCCCACGGTAGATCTTGTCCTCCACGACATCAGTCCAGTACAGGGTGCTCTGGTTGAGGTGAAAGTCCAAGGCGATGGTGTTCCTCAGGCCTGGCACCAGCACACTGAACTCCCCCTTGTGCAGCTCAATCCTTCTGATCTCATGGCGGTTGGAGAAGATGATGAAAGGCTTGAAGGGATCTTAAGGCAAAGAAATAATACCCAGAAAAGTGTTAGCATCTCACCATAGTAAATCTCATCACAAAACCCCTTGTTGGTCTTTGATCAAATCCTGCCGAAGCTGTCTACACCCCCCTTCTATCTGTCCCTTCCAAAGGAAAAAAAAAAAATGAAGGGGTCTGCTGCTAACTTTGTGGAAAAAAATACCTTCAACACCATGATGCATTAAAAACTGTATATACATACAGTAGAATCAGCATTGTGTAGCTTTTTCAACAAAGTAAAAAAGTGTTACTCTCAATCTGAAGCCAAAAAGAAACTCTTCAATTTGTAGGACTGAATGAACTCTTTACGCCAAGTCCTCATCCTTCCTTACCAGTGCTTTTGCAGCTCTCCATGTCAGACTCCAGCTCCCAGCCCTCGTAGCACGAACACTTGACGCTGGATTTCTCCTGCTCGCACTTCTGGCTGCACTTAAGGTGTTTGGCACAGAAGCTCTGAATCTGGCAGGTCTTATTGTCAGCTCCCAGCTCCATGCCCAGGGGACAAGAGCACATGAAGCCTTCCCCGGGAATGATGCTGCAGTTGTGACTACAGCCACCGTTGTCCAATGAACACAAGTCTGCATGCAAGAAACAGAGATGAAAAGGCTGGAGTATATCCGAGACAGGAGAGCTGTGAGTGAGCGAGTCTGTGTATGTGGTGTTTGGAATATCAGAGGGCAAAATAACCAGGTACTGAAACACATCCTCATGCTGTGCTTTATGTGTAGAAATGTTTTTGTGAATAAAGAATGTTTTACCACAAAGTTTCTCGTCAGAGCCATCCGGACAATCGTCAGTGCCATCACACAGCTTCTCAGCAGGCAGACAGATGGAGTCGTTAGTAGCGCACATGTGGTGAGACAACTTGCACACCAACGCCTCGCAGTTATCCTCATCCGAGTTGTCCTCACAGTCACTGTCGCCATCACACACCCAGGCCTTGCTAATGCAGCGAGCTGACAAGACCACAAAACGTCAACTTTCAGCTTTTGTTGTTTTAAGACTTTTATCTTAATATATTCATAAGAACAGTTAAAACAAGTTTTAGGGCTTGGTAACACCAGCCACTATGACAGCAAAAGTTTGGAACAAAATTCTATTAATTTCAATGAAATTACAACAATCAGTGGGTTTGGTTGGGAAGGCGATGTGAATTCAGCTTTTGTTGAACTGAGTTCAAGCTGTTGACCAACTGTAAATCATCTTGACAGAGCTGACCTTTGAGGAAACAGAGTCCAAAATGGAGGAAGGTTGTACCAGCCAATTTTAAATAATCCTGTTCAGCAAGTAAGAAGCAAAGGTAATAACTTCCGCCCACTCTGTATCCAGTTTGGCACAAATTAAACTAGCCACAAAGAGCAGCCAATGTGTGATTCATAAATTTCCCAGTGCCACTTTCTGGGGTGACTGGCCATTTACTCTTCCATTGGGGGGGTAAAACTGAATTCTAGAAATAGGAATGGTTCGTCAACCTTAACCTCTGGTGTGCAAGGCAGCTAAATGTATGCTTACCAGAGTCCCTGCAGCTGAACTTGACTGCAGGGTCACACATGTGGGTCACACCCTCACAGTTGTTCTCATCACTCAGGTCCATGCAGTCTGTGTCGCCATCACAGCGCCAGCGCATGGGAATGCACAGGCCGTCCATCCGACACTGGAACTCATCTACGTGGCACCCGCCTGGTGGACGGGTGGCTGCAGAGAAATCACCAAGACAAAGTGTGACAGTTAGCCAACATAAAAAGATGGAGGGTGCAGTTAAGGAATGTCAAAGAAGTAATAAAATATCATTGTAAGTCAGCAACTGAAAAATAACCAGACTGGAAAAACAAACAGCAGACAACACGCACGCAGACCACACACATACACACTTTGCCAAAAGCTGAGAAGAGAAAGAACAGGCCATTCTAGACATTAATTAATGTGTAGGTATGCTGGGAAGCTGGGTTAACAACCTGACACTGAGCCAAGTTAAACAACAATGACACACACAGCTCACTGACTGATGTCACAGGCAGATTAAAGGCACCACTGAGGAGGTGGCACAATGACATCCCCTCATGGCAAAGGTCAGTACTTGGCACGGCTAAAGCAGGAAATGGGCCGGAGACCTTTCAACACAGAATACAATATACAGGAGGGGAAGGCGATAGTATTGCTTTTTTATTTCAGCTAATGACTTCCAAACAGCAGGCCAAGGGAACACAGAAACACACACACAGCCAGACACACACAGAGCACAGAGCACAGATTGCTCATTAGACCAACAGGTCACGCTGCGCCCCATTTTGCATGCTGGGACTTGACAGCAGTTGGCTGCATTTCTGCATGGATCAAACACAAGATACAACACCAATACACACACAGTGTACAGGAACATATGCTTCAAGGCAAACCAACAGCTGAAAAAAAGAGTACAACACAGTGCTATGACAATGTCACAGTCATTGTCACAAAAAGTGGTTAACTCAATGTTCCAAAGCAGCCCAACATGACCACCAGTTATTTTTAACTCTCAACATGTAAATTCATGTTGCTTGCAGTGGAGTCAAAACATGTGTGCCATTTGCACAAGACCTTGAAAGAGTTTAATTGTTATCTAACCACAAAACATAATCACATCCTGAACAGTGCAACGGAGAGGAAGTGATAAGTGGAAGCCAGAGGGCAGGCCGGGGCATGAAGAGGAGAGGAAAAAGGACAGAGGGGAGGAAGATCCAGTCTCCATTATGATAACCTCTTTACAACAGCAAACAGCAACATGTAAACACTGTGAAATACAATACATGATGTGATGTGAGCTTAACTTAGGCAGAGCACAAACCATTTTTATCTCAAACAACGAGGGAGAGGAGACAATGCCATAACAAAACAATTTAGAGCAGTAATATTTCAGTTTGGTGCACACAGTATTGTTCCCTACCCTGGTTGGTACAGTTGGCATGAGTCTCGTCGCTGTAATCTCCACAGTCATTGTCGCCATCACAGGTCCAGTATTCTGGGATGCAGCGACCACTGTTACATTTGAACTGGACGCTGGAGCAGGAATGACTGCAGCCTGCTTCGTCGCTGTTATCCCCACAGTCATTGTCTGTACACGAGCACACACACAGAAAGATTTTATTGTCAGCTGCTGGATTGTTTTAAAGTGCAGCTTCATGGAAAGTGAAGGATGTCTCAGAGGATGGTGCTCACCGTTGTCACAGCGCCAGTTGATGTTGATGCACCGCCCGTTGGCACAGGTGAACTGGGTCAGAGGGAAGCAGGTTGGGTATGCTGGGAAGAGAGGAGAGTCAAAAATCATGATCATTTGTCATCTCAAACTAAAATATCTGCTATTCATGCAAAAAACAACAGAATGAAAGAGCAATAAAGACTCACCACAGGAGTCTGGTTCATCAGAGCGGTCTCCACAGTCGTCATCCAGGTCACATGTCCAGGAGATGGGGATGCAGCGCCCGCTGGCACATGGGTACTGGTTCGGTGGGCATGTACGAGCTGGCAGGGGAACACGGTGTAAAACAGTTAAGTGTTGTAAAAAAGTCCCTTTTCCTTTTGTAATATCCTTGACTTAACATTTAAGCTTGCAATAACTCATCACTGTTAAAAGCGGCATCCTCACACATCTAACAGATTAGATCTTAATTCAATTTCCAATATTCTATTGCTACAAATAGTAACTAATAATCTTTGTATCCCAAACACAGCACACTCGCTTTATCTTAATTGAATTAAAAGCAATTTGTAATCTCCTTCAATTTATTTGAGATACTGAGATCGCTCTTATAAAAGTAACAAATGGTGCTGGCCAAGGACCATTGCTGCATTTCAGCCTGTTATCATTGAAGTGCTAGATCAATACATTCTCCTGGATGGTTTGTAAAATCACAATGGCATCAACCCGCACTGATAGTCAGGTTCCAATATGTCTGCTGGAGATACAACTTGCCTGTCTGCCCGAAGTTTCATTAGTCCAGTGTTTCTGTACTATTCGCTATCTTGCTTAAACAATCACTAACACTAAATAGATTTATTGATTCTGTAGTCGCATCCTTATGACTCTGAACTTAATCTCAATCCCTCTTAGTTTCATAGTTATGTGATTAAAATATTCATCATCTAACAGCAAAAACCCAAGCTGCATATCATGACTCGATACATACATAATAAAAAACATAAACTCCACAGCAACAGCAGCTTTGTTTTTGATCCATCTTTACAAAGTATAAAAAAAAACTGCTACACAGGTACTTGGACTCCAACTGTGTCCCTCACATATCAAAAGATGAATGAAAAACTGAAAAGATCTCCAAACTACAAAGAACTCCAACATCACACTTACCAGAGCAGGTGGTGTTGGATTCATCTTCATCATTGCCGCAGTCGTTGTCGCCATCACACAGCCATCGCAGGGGGATACAGCGGTTGTTCTGGCATTTGAATCTGTCAGCAGGGCAGGTGTGCTGGTCTGGAGGAAGAAAACAGGAAAATATACATCAACACTTCTTTTTTAAAAACTGTTTAAATTTAAAATTCTTAAAAACTGAGCACACTGCTTTACGAACGCCTTGTGTTTGATAAATAATCCTGTAATCCTTTAAATATGCCACTTTAAATGAAGTGTAAGAAAAAGAGGAGAACATCCAAGACAAACATGAGTGCCTGGTTCTCACTATCGCCTGATGAGGAGAAAGCTGGCCAGTCAAATTACAGCCACATTACACTGCATGGAAAGAGACAATCTTGGAAACTCCAGTTTGCGCTCTGTCAGTTCACATTAGCTAGGACCTTTAAACACAATTTTTGTTTATCTTTGTGTTGCTGTGTAACCATGACAATGACGTGGCACACTTACGACAGAGCTCAGGGGCCTCATCACTGTTGTCCAGACAATCGTTGTCCCCGTCACACTTCCAGCGCTCTTGGATGCAGCGGTTGTTCTTGCAGGCGAACTCCCCGGGCTGGCACTGGGGCGGGGGCACGTAGGAGGGGTTGGCTGGAGATGAGATCAGGGGTAGGAGCAGAAACAGATGGGCCACAGAGACAAGAGCGTAGTACCAGAACACAACAAATCTTTTTGGTGCCTAGGTCAGCTTTCATCTCTTTTAAAAGTTACAAAAATATTAGCGGAGATTCTTCAAAAACGTCTCCCCAGATTTGGAAAAGAGAGCGTATAGTATAGCTTGCAAATGGAAAGTACAGCCTCGAATTCTTTAACAGCCTCAACTCCTGCTGAGTAATGAATTTTCCATTGCCTTTCACATTGAACTTTGAAACCTCTCCACTAGTAAAGGAGCTAATGGTAAAGCAGCTAAGTACCTTTGCAGGTGACATTATCAACATCCAAGATTTGATCGTCGGCACAGCCACAGGACCTGCTGTTAGGGATGGCAAGGCACAGACTGCTACAGCCGCCGTTGTTAATTCGACATGCATTGGAGCCTACACAAAAAGACAAACCAAGATGAAGGACAATATACTTATCAATATTTTTAATAGTTAAAATAAAGTAGAGTACTTGTCATAAGGCCATTTTAAACCATAACGGGGGAGATATACCTTGCTGCTGGTGTGCATCATACACTCTGATCTCAAAGATGGGTGGCCTCTCGTTGCGGAGCAGGGTGACTGTCTTAGTGACCTGGTCCAGTTTATAGATGCTGCCGCCACGATACTCATTCCAAAAGAGGAATTGTTTGTAATGACATAAGCCAAAGGCGTGGTTAAGCTCCTGCCCCTCATACACCACCTGTTAAAATCAGGTAACAGAGAAGGGTTAGATCAAACTGATTACCTTGAAGTTATGACCAAATTGTTGGGAGTAGTATCTCTTTTATCATCTGTAAACACACAAACACACTACCATCTAAATATACTCCCTGATCGTTACCAACCTTTCGCTCAGTGGTGTTGAGGTAAACCAACTCAATACGGTCGTAGTAAGCATCTACCCAGTACAGTATGCCCTGGGGAATGTCCAGACTCAAGCCGTTGGGCCACAGCACCGTTTTGCTGGTCAGGAACACTTGATGATGTGACCCGTCCATCCAAGCTTTCTTTATCTTCCCTCTGTTGCTCTCTGTGGGGTCCTCCTCCCAGTCAGTCCAGTACATCCATCTGGGAGAGCAGAAGACATCACATTCAGAAGGCATGTTTCTTTGAGAGCTGTAGACGTCAAAATGAAACTCTGTGTTTTGATGCTCTTTGATGGAACATCCCATGACAAAAAAAAAAAAAATGAAGGACTATATAAAAATCCTTTGAAAACTCACCAGCTCCCACTCACCAGTGTAACCAATGAGTGCAACAAAAAGCTACAGCACAGGCAGCCCACATAGCTGCAAGTAACAAAAACTCAGACCATCGTCTCCCACTACTGAATGCTGCTGCAGCCAAAAATTAGAACTTCAACATCGCATTTATGAGAAAAGAATACCCATTAAAATAACAATACCCTCCCCTCCAGTGTCTCACCCATGCTGGGGGTCCACCACAATGGCACGAGGATGACTCATCTTTCCCTCAATGAGAGTCTTGCGGGTCTGTGAAGCCTTCTCCAGCCTGGCAACACTGATAGTCTTCTTAGGCCCATCGTCTGTCCAGTAGAGATTACCTCCCATCCAGTCTACCGCTATCCCCTCTACTGTGTGGATACCTGAGATAAGCAAAAGAAGCCAGTGTGAAAAAGGAACTATTAGCTGGCCAATTCAGGATGAATATGAAGAGAATAAAGTGAAAATGATATAGAATAACCTGACTGAATTCTTATCCTCCCTAAATTCTTTAGCTTAGTAGCAGGTAGGATTTGGTTAGAAAGTAGAAATAGATTCCAGATTCCTGTGCAAAGATACCATTTCATTCTTACCTTCCTTTAGTATGGTGTCTCTCTCTGTGCCGTCTATCTTCTGTCGGCCAATTATGTAGCTGGTGGCATCAGCGAAGTAGATGAACTCGCTGGCGGCGTGGAAATCCAGAGCTCGGGGGTTCATTAGGTTCTCAATGGGAATCATGTACTCATCAGGAACCTTGGCATTCATGTCCATGCCCCTGATGATTCCAGGGCGACCCTTACCGTACACCAAGAACAACTCATGGTCTGGTTCTGCAGAGGAGGAAGAAACATTCTCAATGATGCCATTACTTCTGTCTGCAAGTTTGGAACAACCATTACTTCATTGCATTCATCAATCATAGCCATCATATCTTTGTAAAATCAATGTTTTCCCTCATTCTCGATACTCACTCTTGCAGGACTTGCCATCACTGCCAAGGCTGAATCCAGAGCGACAGCGGCAGGTACGGGTCTTGTGGCTGTTGCTCAGCAGACAGATGTCAGAACAACCTCCAGCCTTCCCAAACTGATCCAGGGCACATGCATGGCTGCGCACTAAGCAAGACGGGGGGGGGGGGGGCACAAAAACAATAGTCATTAAATAGTAAATGTTATCAGCGTACATGGATCAGATGTGTCAGCAGGCGAGTTAAGAATTGAGCTGTGCCTTCCTGAGTAAGCACCTTGAGGTTGGCGCCTCTGGTGGTACACATGGAGTGCGGCTCCCCGGTCTACCCGCGTCACCACCTGGAAGTCGGAGCTGTTGAAGCGGTTCACTCGGATCACGCTGGTCTTGGGGTTGAGGTTGCCTTCATCCGAGTTTGTAGCATACAGATAATTCTCAAATACAGTCAGTCCGTATAGGTGCTCAATCTGAAATACAATGAGACAATAAAGCAGCAAAATTAAAATCTTGTCTTGAGTTTGCTGCTGAAAATGCTGATGTTTTGAGTAGAACAGCTCCTGGTGCATGACTGACAGGTTGTGTGATATCGTTTTGTGTACACATTTTTATCTTAAACACTGCCTGGCAAATTCTGCAGAACAAAACTTTCCCAACAAACTATTTATCAGTATAAGACAGAGACAGACAGACAAGCACAGACAGAGACAGACACACAGATAAAGAGAGAGTGTTTGTGTAAACTTGGCACAGGGCAGCATAATGGCTCCACTTCCCATCTGCTGTTAAACAGAGAGGTTTTACTTTTTATAAGGGTCTGTTCTGTGCAGCTCTCCTCTACTGTCAGAAAGATCTATGGGTTAGGATCATATTACCTTCCCCCCTCCTCTCACAGACACACAGATACACAGACACACACACACACACACACCACCGCCGCCACCACCCCTCCTCCTCATCACAGTCCTGATTTCATTAAGATCATTACTGCACTATAAGTTTGAACCAAGCTTCACTCGGGCCAGACTAATATGTTTAGAGAGGCACTAGCCAGGAAAATCACACACTCCTCAAGTAATATCAATCAAGGCAATAAAAAGGACTTATCCCCAGGAGAGGTGGACTGTCTTTGTCTAGATACACAGGAGACAACTAGAAATTAGTACGGCCTCTAAAGAAGATGAGATTAAATCAATGATGATACAGATTTGGAAAACAGATATTTCGTGTTCTCAAAGGGAAAATTAAAAAGTCAGCAGGGACTCTGGGCTATTGCTGTTTGGTGAGATGTAACCTTTTAAATGAAGACTGAACAATCAGATCTCTATACTCGAGTGTATCTCTGTGTATCTTTGGGCGTAGTTGCAATTTTTTTTTTTTGCGTGTACACCAATCCCACCACCTTTTAAACCTCACCAGCAGGCCCTGGATGATGGTGTGTCGGTTTTTGCCCTCATAGTCGACCACTTCGATGTAATCCAGGTAGGCGTCAGCCCAGTACACCAGCCGGTTGACCAGGTCCAGCGTGATACCATGAGGGAAAACGATCTTACTGTCCACCAGCTTAGTGCGGTTCTGACCATCCATGTCACAGCGCTCCACCCTCGGTGTTGACCCATAGTCTGTGAAGAACACTTTACTATAATGGAAGAAGGGGAAGAAGAGAAAGGGTGAGAAGTTTAAGAAGAAGGTACAGTGCCAGAAAAAAAGGAACTTTAATAAGAGGAAATGATATGACTTTACTAGATGACTGCATTTGAAGTCATTATGTATCATTACACACTTCATCAAAACTGAGCAATATGTGTTACTCTTTATACTGAATTTTAAATGATTTCCAGGACAATACAAGATAGAGAAGTGATACTTTGAAAAAAAGGAACTACATAAGATACCAGAATGTCAGTATCAGGAACCTGAAACAGCCTACATGCAAATGTTTATGTGGCACACCAGTATTCGTCTAGGTTTCCATCTGGAGGAAGTGCTTTGATTTTTGACTGCATGCTTGCTCAGCACGTTGTCTGATCATAAGACAGCGTTTTCCTCTCAAGGGTTGCTCAAACAGTATTGAGGGTAGTGTTAGGTCAAGAAGGCTGGAGGGAAGTACAGACCCCATTGCCGGGTCCAAGGCAATGCCCTTAGGGTTGTACAGCTCTTGGTCCAGCAGGGTCACACATGTCTGGCCGTTCTTGTTGCAGACAAACACCCGATCATCCACGTCATCCACAAAGTAGAAGTTTCCGGTCAGCCAGTCGATAGCCATCTGCTCGACATCTGAGAGATGCAGAGAAGAGGAGAGCACAGAACAGAACCATTACAAAAGCAGAACCTCATGGAGTACAGTCATATAACTCTTGATCATATAGCAGGATAAAATCATAGCATCACTTTATGATGCCATGACCCTCTCCTCAAGAGTGCCCACTGTCTTGAATAACAAAATAATAGCGCTGAATTAATGAGCTTCTGTCCTGCCCTCCACTTGTCTTTGATTAAGGCGCACAGTGCATGGGAGAGGGAAAGAAACACAAGTGATACAGAGTGAAAGGTGAAGGTCTGCACTTTCTAAACTGAACTCCTGTCAGTGGACTTGAGCAGTAACACAGGATTCCCATGTGCAGGGAGACTTAAAACTTTGTTTCTGGATATGCAGATATACTGCTGTATATAAAACTGAGTTATTATAAATACAAAAAATTACTACAAACAGAAAGTCAAGTTTTATTAGGGCAAAGGAAATTTTAGCCATTACCCATTGTTGCTGCATAGGCCCCATATAAATTAACCAACATGATACAACACAGATCAGTTGTGAAAAATGGCTGACAGTCCTATTATCAAAGTCTTTCCACTGTAGGAACTTTACTGCAGGACCAAGAAGCTTTTTGAGCAACTCACAAACCTTACCTGTGTTTCAAGTTTACGAACTAGAGACTAAAACATCACTGACTGCTCACACACAGACCCCCCAGCAGGTACAACTTGTCTACATCTTCATTCACTAAAACAAAGAAACAATGGGCGCCACTGGTATCAATATTTGGACGAGGGGCGTGAAAATGTCTTGTCATGTTTATTAACATTAGAAACAGGGTTATGCTGTCAGTCTTTAATAAATATAAATAATTTCAATTTTAAAATTTATTGGCTCTGCCAAAACGCTGCACATGATAAAAAGAACTTCTAAACTGGCATATCGACATACACGTGGGTGACCAGTTAAAGGGAAAAACAAAACATAATGTGTCTTGATGTGTGTTGATCCAACACCTTATCAACACAACAACTTAAAGCAATCTTCTGGAATTTACTGAAGGCAAGGACAAGTTTCCTCTAAATATATTTTCTTGTTTAGTGTTGTTATGATGGCGGAGAAAACTTTCTAATGCATTAGTCCAAAAGCCTCCTCTATGTGTTCAAAATGGGTTTAGATTTGGTAACAGTGAAGGCCATAGCATATGATTCACATCAAGTATTCGCTGTCTCCTCACTAATTCTTTTAAATCTGTCCATCTCAGACTGGAAGAAATATTTAAAAAAAAAAATAAGCAAAAGGGCTTTGCAATGGCAGCACAGAATCATGACACATGCGTTTTAGGGATCAACCTGAATATCACTCAATATGACCCGAAATACTGTTGCAATGTGTCTCCAGAGGAACTTGAAATTACGTAACACTGCTTATTAAACCAAGCTAGAAAGAGGAAGCTTTGCAGATGGAGGCTGTTATTTCAAATATACCCCCAGCAATGGGCGTTGAAGTCCAAAGTTAGCACTGGAAACATTTCTCACTCCCTGAGAACTCTGTCCTGGTTGAGACTGGCTGCAGAAGTCCCAGACCACAGGGAGACCCAACTTGAAGGGGGGGCTTGAAGATACATACAGCCTTGTGTTTTAACAGCTGCCACCGCGCTTCCTTTCAAAGCAGAACACTGTATACACACATGCACATCATACAGGCTTACTATTCACACATACACTATCAAAGTGACCACAGGTGTTTCTCCAGTTATTCTGAGGGACAACTTTGATGTTGGGGTACACGAGTGGGTTTTAACACTAACGATGGTGAGCTTGCTGTCAGCCTGTCCCAAGGCTTTGATTATTTAAAAAACTTTTTAAAATAATAATAAAAAAAAAAAACTAAACTAGAGGCCCCAACAATGACAATCATGCTGCTGAGACAGAGCCAAAGCAAGTTGCACAACAGAGCATACACACATCTGGACTCAATGTAGAAACCCCACCTACCAAACGTACACAGAGCTTCAAAAGGCCTGCCCCACATGGGACTTACAGTATGCTTGGTGCTACGACATGAGCAGAATTGAGCAGAAAACGGAAAACTATGGAGGATTCTGCGATTATACCAGTGGCCAGGAAAGAAAAACAGATATAGGTGTACTGATGGTGAAACAAATTCACAACAAAACATTAAAAGCTCTGGTGCACCTCCAGACTGGAAATAATTTATTGACAGTCAACAAAGGTGGGGGCCATGTCACATCTAAAAGGGAGATAACTGTAAATACATGAGCTAATAAAAAAAAATCACAGTCCAAAGAACAGAAGGAGGGAGTAGAAACCAGTCCAAGTTGTTTCATAAACATCAGAACCAAGATTCTGACAAAGGGGGAAGTTTGTCATGCAGCTAAGAGGGATAGTGATACTCCCATTGGTATCAGCTCTTAGCCCATACTCCTCAATAGAAATCCAGCTGGAAGCCTGACTGCACAAGGCATTGATTAGACTCATATAGAGCCACTTGTGCAACGCGGTGACTAATGCGTTGTGTAACAGCCTACAGCTAGTGGACCTCCTCATCCAAAGAGCCAGCCAGTCTGTTGACGTCCTCACTCATTCAGCTGCTGGTAAGTGGAAAGTTTGCTGGGAAACTGAATGAACCCACCCCTTTCTCTTCATCCAACAACCCTGCCCTCACAACCCTTTTCACTTCCTGCCCTTAACACCTACCGGCTCACACTACTCTGAGGAAACATTTCACAAACTGGGGGGGGGGGTCCTACCGGCAACAACAAACATGCTTTCCAGCCTAATAACATAGATATTTACATACAGGGCCACAGCTGCAAACTAGTCACACACCTTGACTCTATTTGCATGTGTTTGCAAGTTTTCCTTTATTTGTGTGTTAGTGCAAAGCAGAAAAGGATCATCATGTGGCTTCCATAATCCTCCCTGTGCCAAGAAGATCCTATTAATCTGTGTAAAAACCTCTTTGACCTCTCTAGAGCACAGTTTTAGAGTTTAGCGATTATGATTTTCCATAAGGATCTGACATATGACCTCTATTTAAGAGGCAGTAATTCGTAGATGTTATGCCAGTTTTAAATCTCCCACCGCAGCAAGTGAAACAGAGAGGTTACTGGCTGGAAAGGAAGGTCTGATAAAACGGGTATCGTGACATGATTCCACCCCTGACAAAAAAGAAAAAAGAAAACATGTTCTGTTTGGATGCAAGAATAATATAGTAGACAGGCAGCCTTTGTTTTAATAGGCATCTTTCCCCATGAAACTATAAGTTTATAATAAGATTGCGACATATATATATATATACACAAAGACCTTCTGTGCACTAATGTATTCAGGAAAAAAAAAAAAAAAAAAGACGTTGAAAGAACAAAGACTAGACAGAGAGAGGAAGAAGGACTGAACGATAGACAGAGGGACATGGGGAGAAGTGCTGGTCCCTGCTGTGGAGTTCCGCTCAGAGGGTGGAGAGGTTGGGATGAGTAGGCCCTGCTCCCCTTTTATCTTCCCAGTCAGGGAAATCACACATGCAAACAGAGCAGGCCACATCTGCAACCCTCGTCTACTTATCTGCCCTCCTCTCTCATGCTCCCAGAAGCTATAAATCACCCTCTTTGTGTGAACCCTGCTCCAAACCTCTTGCCTCCATAGTTTTATCCATACCCATCTAAGGCCAATCCCCAGGTCTGCCCATCACACTTTTAGGAGTGCACCTGAGCCCTGATTGTTATAAACCACAAAATAGAAATGACAAGAGTCCATGTTGGTACCAATTATAGGATCAGAATTTGTTTTGAAAGAGCAGGTTCCCCTTTAAGCAAAGGAAAGACAGATTGGTAAATCAGGAAGGACACAGAGTTCACTCAGGTCAAGCTTAACTAATATTTTAAGGCATGCGACCACAAGGGAAACCATACATGCAATAAATGGCCTTGACTCCGCTGAGATTCACTAAATTAAGGCAGGGCTTTTGCTCTCTTATCGCAGCTGAAAACCCACACTGACGTAACATCAAAAAATGTGGAGTCATAGCCAAAGTGCAAAGAGAGCCTCTTGCCTGTTTATCTGTTTGGTCACTAAGAGTCAAACCCCACCAACAGACATGACTGCACTCATGTAGACAGGGTTCTTCACATTGTTTTATAGTGGATGTGGACCACCTCACCAGAAATTAAGACTCTCTCACTTACAGCTTTAAAAGTTAATACGTTTTTTAAAAAAAACAAAAAAAAAACAGAAGTGTGGCTATTGTCACGAGACAAGATACATCAAGATCTAAGTGGCTTACCACTTCTGTTAAACAATTTCCTTGGGGAAACCCATAAAGTGCAGGGCCAGATTGACAGATAATGTCTCAGACACAGCTTATTTTGCCCTGCTCATTGTGAACACTGCAAAACCTTTTCCAAAATGTGACTGAAAGTCATCTACCTGATTGTCTTGTTTGAATCTGAAAATGCTAATGTTACTGAAATGAGGTTTTATTACAAAAAGTAATAGATAACACAACAACCCCTGCAAAAACTGAGGATAATGAAAATAATACTGCATGTCATTTCAGGTCGACTCAAATGCACAATGTACAAGAGAAGCATTTCATATTCTAAGGTGTTCACAAATGGGACAGCACATAGACACATAGACAGAAATTTCAAATCTTAATTTATAAATGGTAATATGTCACTAAGTAATGGGTGCATGAGTCAAAGGTATTTGGGTCGTTGTGTGAGTGTGTGTGTTAGTGACCTGACTGGACAGGACCTGAGACGGCCAGAGGAATGTAGAGGCTGTTCAGGCTGACATAACCCAACAGAGGAATGTAAATACCATCTGCATGACCACTCTCTCACACACACACACACACACACACACACACACACACACACACACACCTCCAAGGTACAGCAAATCACTACCTTCTTTCTCTCCCTTTCATTTTATCTGTACCCTGTCTCCTCTACTTCAGTCTTTCTCTCAGGGTACCTCTCTCTTCCACCCCCCGCCCCCAGTCAACCCTCAGACCACTTAACACAGCGGTGAATCAAAAAGCCACAGAAGCAAGCCAGCACAATGAGTGCAAGGTGGGATATGGCCCACTCATGAGTGTGCAGTGAATCAACTGGAAAAAAACCCATTTTAGGACGCTGGGGTTCACTGAGCCTCCTAGCCTCGGCTGCGCCCCGGCTGTCAGCGGTGACAGCAGTTACACAAGCTTCATTTGAAGTGGATATGAGCCGAGGCACTTCTAATCACATCGCAGGTTTCGTGAGCCACATTTCAGGTTCTACACACCCAGCTTCTTCACTTGTTTTCTTCACGTCTGCTGTTCCAAGCCTGGGGCTAATTCTCAAGGGAACACTTCCCACACGAACCTACCTATGAGCACACGCACAAACCCACAGCCTGGCTTATATTTTGTCTACATCTCTGCCCCCATTCTTAGAGAGTAACGGCTCTGTCAGCCAGGCAAATAAAAACAAACTTTGTCAGAGTCATAATCAGAGATAAATCATGTCAGCATTATATGAGTCATTCTCTCAAAGGGAAGTGTTCACATGCTCCGTATGTTCCTTGTGTCTATGTGTGTATTCATGTGTGCGTGTCTGGATGTTGCCCAAGCGATGAGAATCTGTGAGTTATGATGATCCCTATGGCCATGATGACATCTACATACCACCACAGGCCAGACATTTCACTTGTCACTGTTTATCAGTTGTGGTCTATACCACAACCCAGGACAAAACGTACAGCACTTGGGAGGACTCATGAAGGGGGAACTTCTCTGGGAACAGCCAATGCCAAATGTCATCAGAGCAGAAATCAATGACGGGAGATGAGATACATCCAATGACATTCAAATGCATCAGACAAGAGCAGTAGAAAAATATATACAGGCTTTGGAATAGTCAGTACATAAATCAAGCTACACAGTAGTTTACTGTTTGCCTGTCAAGAAATGTGCAAACTAACGCCTGAAGGCATGCTGGCAACCTTATATGTATCGTATCACTGTAAGTCAGCTACACACATATTGCCTCTACGGGATGATTTAGTGGTGTGTCAGGGTGCCCCTGTTCTTCAAAGAGAAACCTTTTGAAAAATAAAGCTGGACTCAGCGTTTCTACTTGGCACTTTTATGCTGGTATGAGCAGCTTTCAGAGATGAGGCTGTATTGCTTCACATCTTACGTTTGTCTGAGCTAGCAAATGCAACGCTGACCATTTGATTCCTGAGGCAAAGTATGGAAATTTTCACACAGGGTGAGCTGACAACTCGAACTGATTACCTGAGTGCTGCTTGCGTGCTCTTATGCAAGGCATTCATTTCTGTTTCACTGGCACTCTACACCTAAACTGTCATACCCTCAGTCTACCTGACGACATTTTTTATAGGAAAACTGTGTGAGCAGAAAATACTATTTCTAGAAAGAAAAGCTTATTAATTTCCGTTACAGTCTGATGAGATTTCTCACATTTTTGTCAATGAAAGTTCTACTCACGGTGCAGGCTGAGGGAGATGTTGATGGTGCGGATGTTTATGACAGACTTCAGGTCAGGGATGCTGGCGCACTTCAGCTGGGTGGCGGCAGGGGTGTCACCCACATCTATCCAGCACACAGTCTCATCGGCATAGATGAAGTCCATAGCCATAGTCTGCTTGGTGGTGATGGTGGGTAGCCGGGATGTGGAGCCACTCAGAGAGGTGCAGCGGATGTCATGGAGGTTAGCAATCAACAGCATAGGCAGACGATCCACAGGCTCTGAGGATGAAGATTGTGACAGTGGAGTCGAGGGGAGGGGGAAAGCATGGGGGAAATGAGGGAGAAAAGATATGAGGAGAAGATGGAGAGAAGTCAAAGGTCATACATTCACTGAACACCTGTAACACATCTCTCTCCAGTAAACAAGCTTGTAAAACAAACGGGGGTGCCACACCATGCAGATGTGATTATCTGATATACTACAGCAGGGGAGCCATTTCCAACAGAGAAACAAATCAACTCTAATCTTTTGTTGGTTTAGTAGGAACAGCATCCTTGGTCCCTGCTGCACTTTTTGCGTGTCTGTTCTCACCATTTTTGGCTTTGCAGGAGCGGTTGTCTGGCTGCAGCAGGTAGCCCTCCACACAGCTGCAGGTGTAGGAGCCCTCGTTGTTGGTACATGTCTGACTGCATGTCCCGTACACATTGCACTCATTGAAATCTACAGGAGAACAACACAACGTCAGTCAGTGATGAAATATATAGGGATTGTACTTATTCACAGCTTGCTGCAACATTTTTTTTAGGGTAGGCAACAAAAAGCAATGGTTACTATCATATTCTGGAATATGCATTTATTTTCTATCTCGAGGCATGTGGATGAAAAAAAAAAAAAAAAAAATTCTGATCTTCTCTACATGCTGCTCCATGCTAATTCCAGCCAGAGAACAGAGAGTCAGAGTAATCAGATGGTTACTTTCAGTGTTACTTTAGCCAAGCTACAATAAATCTGCCAAATCACCCACTCACCTTTACATGTCTTTCCATCTGCAGCAACCTCATAGCCGTTTCTACAGTAGCACTGAGGCCCATCATAAGTCACAGCACAGTGAAACTGGCACCCATGGGAGGCACAGTCTGGTGCTCGTTCTGTAGCAGAGAAAGACACAGACACAGAGAATGTTACATACGGTGGAGGCTAACAGTGATGGGGAGGGGGGCTCATAAGCTTTGATTTAGAGGGCAGAGAAACATGGATAACAATGGCAGCTAAATGAAACCTGTCTAAGAAACTGTTTCCTTGATCAGGTTTGTGCACAGATAAGCTTTCAAATGTTTATGTTAATCCCAGTGCAATCTTCACAGAGCCATACTGTCATATCCTATCACATCTCCACTGGGAGATCAGATAGGATTGTGGTTCTATATGCATCTGTGTGTGTGTGTGTGTGAGAGAGAGAGAGAGAGAGAGAGAGAGAGCGTGGCAGTCACACACGTGCACGCATGTGTGTTTATCTGTGCATGTGACAGACGGGGTTGATTTGAATGCGCACGCGTTAGAGCGCCTCTTCTTTCCCGCCCCCCAAGGGAACTCAAGGACACATCCTTTTGGCAGGAAATGAAAGAGGGGCATCCACACATCCCCTCATCGTGCTCTCTATAGGGTGTGTGTGTGTGTGTGTGTGTGTGTGTGTGTGTGTGTGTGTGTGTGCGTGTTGATATGTGTGTCTAGAGGCTCTGCGATAATTAGGATAGAGTGTCTATTGTAGATTGAAGTGATGCGTCAGAGAGGGGCTCACATCTGACATTACAAAACAAATTATATTTCAGCTTCTATCAGCTTTAAACCTTGTGAATTCAGGCTTATAAAATATTTAATTACTTCATGTGTGCATCCACCAAAAACGGGGCTGTGACTCACGCTGGATAGGTCCTGCCCCAGAGTTCAATAAACCCAAGCCACAGAGACCAACTCAAAGAGCAAACTACAGTATGTGAGGACAAAGGGACAGGTATTATCCTGATGATCAGCACTCATTTATTCAACAGTATTCTCTTTACATCTCTGTCATCATGTAACACATGTAAGTGGAACCTCCTCTCTCCATTTCTGCAAGCTTTTATCTCAGAATTAAGACGCTGGCATGGAATATGACAAGCTTGTATTCTCATGCCGGAGCCCTACAATGGAGCAACCTCTAGCTACCCTTTGAAGCTTCTAGGACAGCTGCCACAGCAACATTCAACAAGGCCAAAGCTGACACATGGCATATCAACACTCATACCCCACATGCTGATCTAAAGGGCTAAACTTTACTCAAAAATTGATTGAACTTGTTGAGAAACATTCCCATTCAATCATTTACCAAGTGTAAACACTGACATACTAAATGTCAATTAGTAAAAAGAGAAAAGAGGCATCCAGTAGAACAATAAAATTCACCTCAGCATCCAACAAAAAAGGTGAATGGTCATGGACACACTATGCATATAGTAGTTAGTTATAGTATGGCTGTGAAGAGTGTAGATTGGACCAGTGAAGGGCTTATTATATAAAGCCTTTGGCACTCTGGGCCACAATGACCCTTTTGTTGTGGCCCCACTGAAAGGAAGAGTCCCCCAGCAAACACCGTGGCCCATATCGAATCCATTCACCAAGCCTCAAACTGTGAGAGACCACAGGCAACTACAGAGCTAAACACCCACGAAATGCATCTCTGTTTAAAGTCATTTTGCTCCATTTTGTACCCGAGTTACCTGACCTATGGGTGGGCAATAAGGACAGAATTAATATTGCTATCATTTTCACAAGATTATCTCAATATTAAGCTGTGATGTTACAAAGTATTCAAAGCACATGGTTAACTTGTGTCGGTCCATTTTTTAATTTTGTTGTCAAAAAATTGATAATAATAATTAATTACTAATTTTTTATTTCTTAAGACAGAAAACTGCATCTGGAAGGCAACAAAGAAAATATCGCTTGGATCTCTGAATCACCTTTTGGCTAATTTTTTTATAAAGAATAATGTATTTTCCATTTGTGACAGTCAAAAAAATTATTTGGAATGTGAATCTGCAAAACCTTTTGCTTTTCTAAACTAAGACAGCATTTGTAGGTGTGCGATAGCAGGGAGACGTGATGCGTGAGGAGAAGAGCAGAGAACAACAGGAGAACAGAAGTATGGAGAGGAAAGGAAAGGCAGTGTAAACAGAGGTGGAAACGAGCGCATAAAGGGCTTAAAGATATGGAGCGGTAAGAAAGTTCCAGCTCCAAGCAAACAAGAAACAGCAGCGTGTCACATGTTTGACCAGGGGTTAATGAACGAAGCAAACAAATCACACAGTGACACACTTGAGGCCTTCAGTCCTAAACAAGCATGCCAAAGCCATTGATCCTGTTACTGCATGGATGGCAACCCTCAATTTCACTCATCTATAGCTCTTTAAAGGGAAGCAGGGAGTGAGAGTATGAAGCTGCTTGTCAGAAGGCACACTAGGCTGAGTTTTACCGGAAGACATGACACATTTCTAAACTGTAAATACTGTGATGTTGCAACTCTTGCGTGCACAAATAAACAGATGACAATGACTCACGGTAGCAGACTAGAGGACCACTGATGAGAATATCAGGCGAGCATGATAACATCAAACACATGAGAAAAATACAGGACGAGTTCCTTTTACATTCTGTGGAGGTTGTGACCTTCTCAATACAGGGTTGCAACAAGACATTGCCAACATGAATATTCTGAAAATTTGTCTGGAGCCAGTCCTGTGTTATGATGGGCTTTTAGCTTTACCAGAGACAAGGTTGCCAGATGACTGATGACTGAATGAGCTACACACACACACACACACACACACACACAAAATGAACACATAAATAAGAAGGGCAAAGTGGTTATTAGCATAAAACAGCAAAATAAAAAGAGAGAGACAATGTAAAACAGATCATTACGAGAGACAGAAGGAAGACAGGGAGAAGAACTGCTCTTGGCCTCCATCCACAACCAGTGCATGACTAAATGTATGAAAGTTGACATTTTCCTCTAAAATCCAATCATGGGGCTGACGGGTCAGTGCAACAGGGTGACGCAGGTTGAATGAGACAGAGACCAGGTGGTGTTGGGGTCATGGTCGTAGTTACGCAACAAGACCTGTCACGACTGAATGATTTCATAAACGTCTCTCCTTAAAAAGATCAGCTCATCTATCCATCAACTGGCTTGAAAACAAAACAAATCCCATTTTTTACTAAAAAGATAACAGATAAATATCATAATATATATATGTCTCCATTTCCAAAGCAGAAACTGAACTGAACCTTCACTGTATAAACTATTCCAGTGTGTGACATTGTAAAAGAAAGAGGTTATTCCCAGGACATTCCTACCTTTGTGCTCTCACTGTCTGGAAACAAGTCCACACATGCCCTTGTCCTCTACCTGCAGCTGACAGGAACCTACTGTTTCCCTACACGGCTCCATCCAGTTACCCAATTTCTACTTCTTAAACCTTATGGTTTGTTCATTCACACACATTTCAAGTGTGTATACTTCAAGTATTTACTCCTAACATATTTAGATATGTATTTGAATTTCCCTTCTTAAACTGCCACTACTCAAATTTTTTGTCCCATATTTAATAACAACAACAACAAAAAAAGACCTAAATTGTATATGGTCCATCTGTGTGTCTTTGTATGGATAGACACACCTTTCATATAATTAATTGGCAGTCCAGCAATATATATAGTAGTATAAAGCATTTGGGCAACTTATTATTGATAAAAACTTTGAGAATACCAATCTCATTTAAGTTTAGCAGATCACCATGCTCAATTAAACACTAAATTCAGACACAGTCTAAGACAATGCAGCTGCTGCATTTTGTTAAACTACTTTGGAATGATTTGGTTTCATAGTGCATTCCATCACATATATTATAGTAGTTGGTGGTAAATGCTGAGTTACTGAAAAGTGAGCCATGCTGGGTACGATAAATAAGACATTAAGGAGATAACACTGTGTACATGCAGGTATGTGAATGAGCATAGGAGACGGGTGGGCGAGCTCATCAAAAGTGTGTTTACAGGCAGTTGTTTGCAGGCTGCATAGTCAAAGGGGGGGTGAAGCAACCATTTGAAAGCACAAGTAGGGCAGCAGCTTGACTAATGAGCAAACAGTAGATATCGTAGTCCCAGACAATGGCAGCATGCTGCCCCAGATGTCTAAACCTAAACTTAAATGAATAATCAAACAAAAGTGAACAAATACACATAGAAAGTAGCCACTGTCGCAACAATGAACATTCCCTAACACGTGCCTAAGAAAATCAATACTTGAATTTTCTTCAATCTACAGCCCATTATGAGTAAAGAAATACATGACAGTTTACAACACTGTAGTGTCTCTACATACAGTGATGGCCTACTACAGGCAATAAAACAGCTCTTATCATGCAAAACAACTCTAACTGCAGCCAATAAACTCATTTAGGTCAAGATCCACTCATGAATAAAAATGAAAATGTGGTCTTTCCACAGGCAGCTTCAGGTTGCCTCTGATCGATTCTCCTTCCACAGTTAGAGGGACATGAAGGACAATGAAAGACCACTGCAAGCATAAACAATAGCGTCAGGCCATGACAATAATCAGGGTTCCCTTTGGGACAGCGAGAAAAAGGGAAAAGCTCTTAGGAGTGCTGACATGACCCCATTTTCTCTTCCCTATCAATCAGTCACTTCTGAGGGAGTCAGGTCTAAGGCCTTGCCCCCCAAGAGAGGCCCCATCACCCACAAAATGACAGGGAAAGGGCAAATGAAGGCATGAAGATCAATGAAAAGACTCAACTTTCACCCATATGACAGAAAAACAACAAAACTGCCAGTTGTGTGTAAAGGCTACAATTAGTTAAATAGGCCTTTTTAAATATAGACTTGGAACTATGTTTTGTGTTTTGACCAAAGGATGGCAAAGATCTTAAGTTAGACAAGCAAACTTGGGTCTTAAGGTTCAAACGCTCACTAAACCACATCGGAAAACATTCTCAATATTTGGTTTTCTAATGCTCTTGGGAAAGACACATGACGTGTTAATTCCCTTCTTTTGTAATCAAGACAGTTATGAAATATTTGAAGTTTATCTATGTAATATACTACTTGTGGCTATATGAACAATAGAGTTCATTTCTGGGAAAATATATAATTTGATGTAAAGTAGACTAACACCCAAAACCTCAGATAATCTTCTTAATCGGGACTGTGAGGGTGTGATCTGATTGACAGTTGCCTTTCACAAACATTTTAATTCCTGTTGACAGCATAAGAATATGTTCAGGTTCTGATTTGCTTTTACCTTTGCAAACAGTCAAAAAACACAGATCAAGTGTCAGATTAAAAGCTGAACCTTGGAATCATACTGCCAGTAACAACCTCACCACCCATCACAGCACCACTGAGCTCACCTGGTTACTCCCTGCTATCATTCCTAAACGTAAATCATGCCAACTAATCCCAACTCTTGCCACACACTATGAAAACGCAGAGGAAATTTATTTAAGTCAGATAAAATTCCTGCCTAACCTACCTTGCTACACTCCCCTTTCTAACCACTCTTGTCAACAACTTTGGCAGAATTACTTGGACACACTGACTGACAAAGTGTGCTTTCAGACATCAGCGCCCAGGTACACTTTCACAACCGGGCAGTTTGCACAAGAAAACACTAGGAAGCTTGTGAAAGGCCAGGCCTTTCCCTGAAAAGAGGGGAGCTCACAAACAGCAATGCCAAAAGTTCTGGACACACTGCTGGTGTGTTTGTGTGTGGGGTAATGGGTGTGTTTGGGTGTGTATTCACAAGAATGTGACCGTGTGTGTGTGTTTGTGTGAGTACATGCATGCATTACAGGAACATGAATGTGTAGGTGTGTGTATAAGCTTAGGTGTGTTGTGAGCATTGCCTTACTGAGGACAGCTGGACTTGTGTCCTCAGGGACAGCCAGTGCATGTTGTGACTGGATGATGTCATTGCTGTGTTGTGTAAAGGCTTGTCTAGCAGTGATGACCAGTGTGTGGGATACTAACGCTCTCACCCACTTTGTACAGCTGTCCACTTCATCTGCCCAACAGTTCTCCTGCTCTCCTGGCCTAATCTTATCACACTTAAATGCCCTGTGTAGAAGATTCATTATACATATATACATACAGGGAAATAGAAAAACTGACATTAAAACACATAAAGCTCCAACTGATACAACAGTAAAAAGGGTAAATGGATAAAAAAAAATCCACAACAAATGTATTAAGTTAAAAGCCTAAGTAACCAAAAATATCTAAAATGACTCAAATGTGCCATTGCACATACTGGTATAGTCAATAGACGCTTTGGTTAACACTTAACAGGACTTTGGTCCACTGAGACTTAAGTGCTGATCATAAATATTTGATTAAGTGATTTCATATTCCAGGAAAGGCTTATCGACTGCATCACTACTACAACCAGTGAACTGGAGAGACAAACACAGAAGTGTGCACAACAAAAATTAAAAGCACACATGCATCGCAGCATGGGCTATTGCAGCTATAAACAGGCAGAGCTTCAGACAGCTTTATCTGAGGACTGCCTTGCTGAATACTGAGGCAATCCTCTGAAGGCACCCAGTGTTTGCTCCTTTGTCTGCAGCAACAAAGACCAACACTATGGACTCAATATGTTCCATCTCTCGTTCTTCTGTAGTCCCTAATTAATAGTAGAGGATTTGATGGGATTCTTCTTCAGCTGCATCTAGGCTGAATGCTCATCATTCCCGCAGGGATTGGGGAAACATCCTCATAGCTGAGCTGATTGATAAATTAATGACTTTTTTCCCAAGAAAGCAAAATTCCATTGTAATTGCACAAGCCGGAGCAGGCCAGCTCATTAGAGGGCCTAATAGAGGAGATTATTGGATAGATATTATAGTTTTGGATGGGAAGATAAGGAAGTGGCAGTTTTCTGCAGCACAGAAGCTGGTTGGTCATTTTTGACCCACAACAAAGGGCAAAGCTCTTATCAGAGTGTGACAGAATAGATAGAGAAAATGCTGGTGCCATCTGTTACCTCTGCAATGAGGACCCTCGTCCCAGCCATCGGAGCAGTCGGGGACTCCGTCACACAGTTTGCTCATATGGATACACACATCCAGGTCCATACACCCATGATCATTGACAGGACACTGGTTCACTCTGTTGTGTGTGCCTGGAACACAAGCAAAACACATCTAAGGAAACACAGCAGTACAAAGCAACATATAGAGAGTCAAACCCCAACAGATTAATACTTTATGTACAGTGGTAAAAAGAACACATCATAAATTCAAAATGTGTGTATTTGAATTTAATAGGGTTAATAAAACTATTAAACACAGTACCCACATGAGGAGAATTTACAGTATATGCTTAGACTGTGGCTATGGGTGAGGTCGCACTTGGTCAAAGATCAAGAAAGATCAAAAGAAAGAAACATCCTGAACAGCAAAACAGTTAGAAACATGTTAGATATTTTCATTCTAATCTTGTTAATATAACCTTTATTTAATCAAGTAGTGTCATTAAGATCAAGATCTCTTTTGTATGAGAGACCTGAGACACATGCACACAGACATGATGATAAACTTTGTAATTCTCAAATGGTCCTCAACTTTGAGTTAACTACTGTTTACTCTGGGTGGACAGATAATTCAGGGAGTGATTCCAGATGTGCCTTAAACTGGCTGGCCTTCCTTTCTTTGTACTCTTTTCATCACCTCTCAACGAATGCTAATACCGCCCCCCCCCCGCCCTCTACCACAGGACCCATGTGAGAGTTTATGACATGATTCTTATGACTAGTCAAGTTAAGTGAATAACCAACAGGATCATCATCTGAGTGATAAATCCACTGATATCAGCTTATTGCACATATATTTGTGTCAGTGTTTATGCCAGCTGATAAATAACAGGAAATTGCAGTGTAGAAATACCAGACTTGGTTTGAGGTTATTTTGAAACAGTTACGTGGTTCGTCAATGAGCGAGCACTGCCAAGTTGATGTCCTGCCCAGGGATCCATAAGATTGTTTGTTTATGTAATGTGTTACATCATTATAGGATTTTTTTCCAACTCCATGGGTTTTAGGAGCACTTGGGACCTCAGCTCACATCTGTAGAAAATGACGGATAAGAAAGCAGCTTACTTTCTTTCTGACACTGTCGCACATAAAATGATCAGCCTATCTGAGTGATTCACTTTCTCCTCCACGAGTTTCAGTGAGGTCAGGGCCACCATCAAGGTGGATAACACCAAGGTAGATTTACCTGTCACAATGCCTAACTAGAAAAGGACCCGAGGTCAATTGGCTGCCAGTCTTAATCAGAGCCTGTAATTACTATGAACTTTGTTTTACTTTTATATTCACTGCAGTAGGCTGCAAGTTTTTCAATTAATTTCTCCCCTGTTGAGGAGGACAGTATTATCAATCAGCGTTAAAAAGCTAAGTCAGTTTAGAAAACAATCTTCTCTACATCCTTGTATCATCATTTTCATACATCAGTCTTGTTTTGCTGCTGTGGTCAACAGGTTAAATCCAAGACTGAAATATAAAACTGTAGAGAACTGCTGCCAGACAAAGGGTTGTGGCGAGAGGATGACTTTTAACATGTGGAGAACTAAATGTTCCCTGCATGTGTGGGACATGCACATGTAACATAATTTATGTGCACACATGTAGTTACTGTGTATGCCTTCAGTATATACAATATGGCATGCGACACAGTGAAATATTGTCTGCTGATTTGATCTTCGGGCCTATGTTGAAAATTACAATAATAAACAAAGATATATGGAATCTAAAGGATGTAGAGGGGAAAGGACAGAACGTAATCTCCTCTGATCCTTTTTTTTTTTTTTTTTTTAAACCAGCGTCAGACCAGAACATACAGTAGATGCAATCTTTTCCTCGCACTCTCTCCCACTCTTCTCTCTATCTCTCCTCTCAGCCCACACTGCAGAGCAAACAGTTTGCTTTGGCTGTTTTTCTTCTTCCTCCTCCTCCTCCTCCACCTCCTCCTTCTCAACCTCACTCTCTCTTTCTCTCTCTCTCTCTCTCTCTCTCTAACATCTGCTGACCCATTTTAGAAAAACACTAGAAGCAGAGAAAATAAAGTTCACCTCCTTCACAGGAAACGATCTGTAGAGTTGTACGGGTTATGTGCGGTGCCGGGAGAGACTTTGATAGCATGATATCTGCATATGCACACTGCACAGCCTGAGCTGTAAACCCGTTTCAAATGCCTCCTTCAGAATCTCACATACGCTAAGTCTTTGGTGTCTGAATATTAAGCAGCTGTTGCAGCCAAAATGCAGTTCCTTTGACCCTTATTTCTGCTTTATCCATTTGGAGCTTCTACTTATCTGAACTGAGAGTCTGAGGATAGAGAGCGTTGCACTGTATGCTGTACAGATTGTAAAGGCTGCTAAGAAAAACCTAAAATATGACTGACTTGACTTGACATGATATAAAGTATTTTATTTCTGTGTCATGCACATCTCTCATAAGTTGAGACGTGGTAACATATTACGGCTAAGAGGAAAGTAAAAATACATATCTCTCAATGGGTAAGACTTTATATATTCTTACAAGACATGTCACATCTTTATGAATCAAAGTGTGGATATGCATAAAGACTTATATGAGGGAGAACATTTGCCTACATCTCGACTTTCCCTGAAGGAAACCACATGCATTCTCTCTGAGTCCTCTCTATCCATCCAAGAGATTAATAACCACACACAGAACATAACATGTAACTCAGTTAAAACAAGTGCCTTAAAGTGACAAGAGCTTCCATAATGATCCCACCACAGCAGCCTGTGTGGAAAATGTGCCACATTCGAACAGAGAATTAGCTTCTAATACATCTGGCTTAGGGAGAAGGAGAGCAGCTCTCCAATCTGGGGGATGCTAGCATATTAGCAGCCCTCCTACAGTCTCGGCCTCTAAGCCAGCCTGATTTACATTCAATAAACTGCCAACCTGGGGATTTCTACATAAACTGCAGTACCAGGAATAAACTGCCGTGCACACTGGAAATGAAACCCCTGCCAAGGATTTAGCATTTGTCAACAGTTTTCATAGTATAAGAGACAAGTCACAGTGAATGTCATCTGAAAGATGCCCACATCAGTGTCTTTGCAACTACGCATTCAAGTAAGTATATTTGACAAAAAGTGACATGTTAAGGATCGAGCAGTCAGACAGATTAACTAACAGAGCAACTGTGAGTGCTGTTATACTATCCCAGGAACCACACACCCACCCACCCACACACACACACACACACACACACCTTTCCACTGACCAGGCAACAAGCCGAATAAGTTTTTGGATACATACTAACAACTGCCAGCAATACACAACAGCCGGAAAGAATTGTTTGAGTTCCACAACACAGTAATACCTTGGCAGGAGCTGAATAGGGACCAGCAGCAGAAAACTAAATAGAAAGGACAATATGGAGGATTAAATAACTTTGCAGGAGGGACAATGGAGAGTTACCCTGTACTCCCTGCTCCAGTTTGGGAAGTTCTTGGCAATGTATCACAATAAACCCACCTCCCCACCCCCCCAATGGCAGTAGCCATTTTCTGCGTCATCTGTCAGTGGAACCAGACCATTACTGAGGGTAAAGAACACAGCAGAACTTCTTCTGTCCTTTTTCACATGCACATATGGTAAACTCACACTACACAAGTATAAATAGTATTTTCTTTTCTAAAGTTATGTTTTGTTCTCTTGTACTTGTACAATTATTATGTGGTCCATAATTAGTCAAAGATAATACTTGAAAGCGCTGAGGCCACTATGGTGTTTGAAAAATGGAGATATGGAGTCCCTAGCTTTATAATCTGTCCCTTTGAAGGGTGAAGCAGACAGGTGAAGCATTCAAGAGTAAAACACTCTGTGGCAAAGATATTCTTCCTTGCAGCATATGCCAGGATATCATACAGTCTGGCAGGACCCAGGAGCAAAGACAGAGGGTTCATTGTAAAGCCACACCAAATATTGTTCCCATATCTTGAAGAATATTCATCCAACATGCTTGTATTTTAGGACAGGACCAGACACAGTGAGTATAGGTCCCTACTGAGATTTTACATTTTAGGCACAAAAGTGAAAGCTGGGGTTCATTTCGTGTCTTTGTACTAGACTGTTGCACCATTTGCAAGACACACTCTTAATATGTGAACAGTTCTGCTGTACTGGAAATCACTTGGAAGAAATAAGGTGATGTCTTGGACCGAATCTCTTCTTTGCCTTCTAAAACTACAGGTTCCTTTCCAAGCTACTGTTTCTATCGAAGGTTTTAAAGAAGAATTTGCTACGACACAAATTTATTTTTCATTTATTTTGAGCCAAATGGAGATTTGGAGAAATCCAATTCTCCTTCGTTGTGTTGTTTTATCCTTGTGAAGCACTTTGTAATCTCTGTTTCTGATAAGTGCTAGATAAATACACTTTATTATCATTATCATTATTATTAACATAAGTGGCCATCTAAACCAGATGAAGTTCACTGCTGGAGCCCAGAATTACATTGTTGTCACAAACAGGAAGGTCTACGCTCCTTCATTCCAAGTGTTGATCACATTAAGGTTTTTTGGCATCTGACATTTGGCACCTCTCACTGTCATACTGGAGATTTATGTAGCAACAGTACGTAAAGTAATTCATCAAGTCTGCAGTGCCTTTTCTGAACTGAAACATCATTACATCAAGATGTAGCTGCAGGCCAAACCGACTACAAGCTACAGTATCATGAATAAGGAAAATTCCCACAAGCAACTAGCTGTATACAGTAGACTGTAAAGACATCATAGTCCAATCCAGACTCTCTCAACTCCAGATGCTAAGTTCAAGGTTTTCATTAATGATCAGGGAGTATACACGACACATCTACAGCTCTCTGTTGTTGCGCGGTGGAAAGTTGCAAATCTCGATTCAAGGAGTTAACTCTTCTCTCCTCTCTTCCTTGTGTGTTCAGGTTGAAAGGGGAAAGCATCGTGGAACTGATGTTAGTGAGTACACTCAGAACATCTTCCAGTTTACATGAAAGCAGCATGTGTGGAGAATCATTTCTAAAGCAAACAGAGAAGACTGGCTAATGAATGGAGATAATGTATTGTTATCATTACAACAGCAGTCCTTCACAACGGGGCATT